TCTTTTACGCAATCGGTTTCCAATAAGCACTGTTCCTGATGTCGCTCGTGCTTCGAACAAAACCCCAGAAATTAAAAAGTGTATTACTGTCAAGGAAGAATTTGTTGTTGCGGCTATATTAAGTAACGTGCGTGAGTAATTGAAAGGCGAAGACCTGTACACGATCGTGTGGGGACTCCATTATTCATATTCCTGCACATCTTGCGATGACTAGTCGAGGTTTGGTTCAGGGCCGTTTTTAATCAAATATTATGAACTCGGAATTGACTAAGTTGAATCGATCACAAGTTCGAATATCAAATCAAAGGGCACAGAGGCCTATGACATGCTACTAGATAGAAGGGGCGTGTATATACTGTTATGTATGAATACTCGAGTCGGTCGATCAGGCCGGTTAAGTTCATTGGTTGTGTCTGGATAGTGGCTGGCTTCAGGTTCATTACCCTTATCAAGGGAGCTTGTAACTTTTTCCTATATAATACAGAACTTGACGAAGATTGTAGTCCATTCTGATGGGGCGGGTTTTGGGGGTTTTGTTTTGTTTCGTAATTCTTTAAAGGTATATAACCCCGTACCGACTTGTCACTCTGTAAGCTTGGCGCAGCGGTGCTTTTGACCGCAGGCATGTTCGCGGATATCGGTGGGGGACGGTGTCCCCCCCCCCCACACTTTTTAAAGTGGGGGATATCATATCGTTTGTTCCCCCCCCCCGACCCCAAACACACTTTTTTCGTCCCCGAATAAAAAGTGTAGCCTAAAATTGATTCTATAGCTCAGAATAGCTGATATAAATCCAAACTCGAAAATTGTGTTCAAATGATGATCCTTTAAGTGCTCAAATTTTTATTTTTTTAAAGTGGTCGGAAATCAGTGCCTCAGATCGCACCACAAAGCGTCCAGAATTTCCCCGGGCCCTTACTGAGCTGAGCGGGCCCCGAACCCCAAGTAGATAGGGGCTTCGCGCTTCGCCCTCTACCTGATCAAGCCTTGTATGTCCCCCCCCCCCCCCCCCCCCCCCACACACACACACACACTTTTGAGAAGTGATCGACGCATTTGACTGTAGGGCTCGAATCCTACCCAGGTGAAGGCCAACAGTTGGATGAGATTCTTCTTGATTCCGTGGGTTTCCCCTGGATGAGTTTTCTGGGATCTTAAACCGAGCGTTTCGACATCGTCGTCTTTATCTAGGTTTCTTCAATGATGCTCAGTTTGAGCTACATGTATGGGTCTTCAGTATCTAGCTCTCCAGGATCAGAAACGCTTATTTTCAATGCCCCCAAAAGAATTTAAAAAAAAATCATGTTAGAAGAAAAACAGATAGTTCCAATCCCATTTTACATTGTTCTTTGGCCTTTTCTTTGTACATTATACCATATTTCCGAGAACCTGCATTTTTTTTTTATATACCAAGCACCTTCTGTTTAACATTCGAAGCAGAAATTAATTCCTTTAATTTCTGTGGATTTCAGTAATCTAAATCAAATTTCCGTGTTCATAATCTTTCCTGTTACGTTTCCTCATGACATAAACGTGGTACAAAGCATCTTCGTTTTTGTTTTTGTTTGTTTTGATAGCGTGCGTACCAGCGTCGACTCGCAGAGACTAACATAATTATTATGTACGACAGGAAAAAATCTCAAGCAAACAAAACAAGATTTTGTGCAAATCCCAACAAATCGAATTGGAACCAAACAAATTAATATGGCCATCAACCGTCACGACAGCATATGGCGACCATTAGAAATGATGCGAGATGTACAATGTAGGTTCGAAGAAAAACAACGTTGCCCGTAAAATCACAATTTTTCTGTTGTTATTTCAGCGCGGGCAACCTATGAGTAATACTGTGCATCTCACGTTAATTCATAAAAAATGATGAGATGTAGGCCTATGTACGTACGTGGGTCTTGTTCAATATCAAACAAATGGCGAGTATGATCAGCATTTTTTCCCTAGCCGTATATACTTATCCCATACACTCATCATTTCTAATGTATAACTAATGTGTAGCGATGCTGAATTAAACAAATTTATGGTTGGACATACACTTCCTATAGGCAAACCTATGTACATACGTATCTGGTAATAGTTAGAACGGGACAATACTTAAAATACCTTTTCATTGACAATACCTTTTCCAACTTAATTATTAATGTGAATTAGTATATTTTTACAGAGCACCGTTGCTTCCTGGGTGAAACATAAAATCGCTGTACGCAACGAGGAACACGTACGTTATCCGGCCTGCACTAGTACTGTGCATACAGTTGGCAGTAATAATCTTCATTTAATTAATAAACAATTAGGCAATATTCGTCATCTTGCACGTTTGTTAACAGAATCTTACACATTCCTCTGCAGTTAAAAGTTTGGATGTACAACTGTGCAGTTTGAAAATAATCAACGATAATTTCCTGTTACTTAAATTATTTCAAGTAATTCAACCGTGTAAAAAGCGAAATACCGCCAGTTTATCGATATTATTCTCATCATTTCAATGTTCGTGTGCACAAGTGATTATTATTCATGTATTACGATCCATGTAGGAAATTAACAGTTACCAAAACAATAACATTAAAAAAAACATTATCGTAATCACATTATAACTTTGAAACTCATTTTCTGTTTTCACTGCACTCTAAACTTACAGTACTCACCTCGGACCTCATTCAATCTCCGTATCATGAGAGCTTCAATCCAAGCGCATCTTTGCTTAAGCCTCAACGTTTTGACAGTGACATCTCACCAACCCGCAGATTACATCCACTTTAACCGTGAAGAAATAATGAAGACTGCATACCTACGTACCTACGTCAGCATGACGCCCGTGCGAAAACAATCGCCTTGGATTCTATACAACCACTGTTTGCCATTGTTCCGCTGCTTGATTCCCGACAAAGTCATTACAGGAGTGAGACGTCGCTACGGTGAACTTTGTTCGCTGCCGACATCATTATTCCGTATCTGGCTGTAATCACATCAATTTTGAAATCTTCGTCGTTGTGTGGGGAAATGACAGTCCCTGGTCTTGGACAAACCGTCTGCAGGGATGAACCGTTAGCTGTAACATTCTTGGTCAAGGCTAGGACTTGTCAAGCAGCAGAATGTACTACCCGACGGCTGTTTTATAAACTGACGACGAGAAGTAATAATGGCTTTCACGGCAGCTGGTATGAAGGAAATTATTTGGCTCGTGTTTACGGAAAAGGGCAATGCCGAGTCAATACAATATTGAGTTAATTTGTTTTGAAATAAAAAAAGGTGTTTTACCTTTATGGGTACACACCTGTAAATCGATCCGCCAAGCTCATGAATAAAAGTTATACCCTCAAAATATTCTATATTAGAGAGTTCTGAGCGCCGTAAAATTGGGGAATTGAAGAGATATGGTAGTGAACCTCTAGCCCGGACTTGGGGCTTCCAATTCTGAGCATTTTGGATGCTATTGGGCTTGAAAGTGGCGCTATTTTGCCATGTTGTGGAGGGATCGTTTTTCAAGATGGCTACTTTTCCGCTTTGGGGAAAACAGGGGTCGTCTTCTTTGCGTGAAAATATCTCGAAAAGTCAATGGTCAACCCACCATAAATTGAAAAGAAAATGAAAGATGACACATTGATCATCATTTTTCTGTGCAGCTTGAATACCTGTGAGAGTTTTGAGTATTTTTAAAAGAATTTTGAAGTACGGGCATTTAGCACTAGTGTCTATGGGAGTTTATTTGCAGGTATGCACCCTTATTATATTTTGGTAAGACCTATCAGAGGTCTAGACATTTTGATTTCGCGTGTGTACTGTATTAATTTATAACGACACTAATTCTGACGTGACTGATTTTATCGCAAATTGAAACGGCATAAAGTATAAAATAATTATTGAATACAATAATAATCAAGTTTGCCTCACCGCGTCGGCGCGGCCTCCGTTAGACTATAGTTCCCAGTCCCTCCATCAGTCAGGTTCTCACTTCGAACTACCCAATCATTATGCTAATTAGCATATCGGTATTCCCACAATGCAGAGTCCTAGGGACTCTTTCGGTCTCTTGTACATGCGTCATCAGTCGGAATGGTTCTCGGACTTTAATTTCCTTTAAAAAAGAAATCCTCCAGAGCCACAAATCAGAATAAGGTGAAATATATTTCACTGATATGATGAGTACAACTTGATTCAACTGACATGATTTTAGAAGGATCCACCTTTTTAGGCACCATTGAATCCACAGCATCCAGTACTACATTCGCTCGAAATCTGAGGAAAATGATATAATTGTGGTGATATCAAATCACATGATATGTTATTTTTTAATCTATTGATCAGGCCTAAATGACTGTCCGACTTAGTTCAGCCTTTAGTACTATGCAGAGGGGATATGTATACCATCTAAATGCGTATCGGGGTGGGTACGGGTAGCCGCTTCAAAGTTTCCACGGACTGAAACGTTTTTCGATGCCGAACGTTAAGGTCATCTCTAAAAATAGAACATAGTTTCTGATCTCCGTTCATAGAGCTATTAAATTTAATATACATAGCTCCAGCTAAATATGTAAAATATTCTATATTAGAGTTCTGAGAACCATAACATTGAGGAATTGAAGAGATAATGGCAATGTGTCTTTGGCCCGGACTTCGGGCTTCCAATTCTTGACATTTCGATCGAAAGTGGCGCTATTTTGCCATGTTGTGGATGGATTGTTGTAGATGGATCGACTACTTTTCCGCTTTGGGGAAAAATAGGGGTCGTCTTCTTTGGGTGAGAATTTCTAGTTTTTAATTTTAAAGTATGCCGGGGTTAGCACTGGTGTCAATGGGAATTTTCATACATGTCTCCATTGCATGATGCATGAAGGGTGCAGACCAGTAAAGTGGGAGCATTTACCATTGGGGTCTATGGAAGTTTATTTACTGGTCTGCTACCTGAAGCACTTATTCAAGCCCGCCCTCTACGTATTGTTTCCATAGGTGGCGCTTAGTCAGGTCCCACCCAGTGTGCGGCATTATGTTATGGAAACAGGATATTGTTGGTTGGACGTCAGACAATTATCACCTGAATGAGATGTTGAGAACTAAACATTCGCGCTTGACATTCAGTCAAGTGTCAAAAGATTGGCTTAAGAAAAACTACAAATGTACGAAAACTGTGTGACTTCAACGTTGCCGAAATAACAATAACGTAAGTGCATAAGATATTTAATAGAACTATGTTGCTGAGAAACACTGTGAATTTTGTGATTGACACCTTCAATTATAAATTTTCCGAACGAACTTGTTTCTGTCGAGCGCAATTTGGATACCGTGCGCAATTTTAACTTGCGCGCGCTAAATTTTTGGGCGATCGTAGTGTAGGGCCCCTGTTTTGTTGTGATCAAATTAGAGTCAAAAATGTTTTTGGAGCAACTATAGAATGCAGGGCCACGCCGGAATTTTTTTTTTTTGTAGTTGGATGGGTAGGCCCGGCCTAATGCTAATCGCAGTAGGGACACCTCTATTTTTTACGAGTTCTGTTCAAAACTAACTTTTGCAGATGACTGTCCAGTACCAAAATGACTTTTGCAGGCTAATGCAGTCTTTTCTCTTCATATAAACTCATGTTAGTTGTAATTTTGAAAGCACTTTCAAAGAAAATGTGACTTTCATGACTTTCCTACTTTTTTTTGCAGTCAGACGTGCATGTGTAGTTCTCACAACACGAGTGAAAGCGCTACATAATGCAAGCCCGATGCTGATTGTCTGCTGAAAAAAATATACAAGATGTTTACTTTTTATCAGCCAATCAGCATCGAGCTTTCATTGCATCGAGTTTTCACGTTTGCCATCTTGGCTTTTGAGTTTGTTTTCTGGTTGTCATCGTCGTCTTTTACCCCTCAATTTCCCTCTAAAATCAAAGCCCTGCCCTCTTTCCACAAAATTAAACCTATATTCAAGAAGGTGTCATTGCCAATTGTTCAGATGTGCCAAGAAATATCAGAATGTCAATTTTGAGTGTCATTTAGTCAACTGTTTTGGTGAGTCTTTCCCTTCCTAATATAGGAACGGGGTCCTAAAAGTAAGGATTACCGTTGGATGCGATCTGAGGAGTGGGGTCGTTGATAGTCCGAGTAACTAAGACCCAACTTATCGCCTTTTTAACATTCGGACGTGGTCTGGCGATAGTGGGGTCCAAGCTAATGGTTATATGCCGAGCAACACAATTCTGTCATTGACCCAAAACCCCAACATTGCCCAACAAAAACATCAGATTTCACCCTCAAAAATTTGGCCTCCAAATTACTAGATGTATACGCCACCTGAGGTACAAGTAGACATTGATAATTAAGATGGTTGTACTGAAGTTTACTTACGATCCGGATGAACAGTGAAATTTCCCGTTCAATTCTGAGAGCTCCCCTCGCGATCGTGAACACGTTAAATTTCCGACTCGTGTTTGAATTGCGATGTGGTCTTCATGCCCAGCGTTCATTCGATGGTCCCCGTATCCCGAGTTCGATTCCGTTACCGAGCACGCGCGATGCAACCGAGTGCGCGCGCGATGCCCTCTCATGTGGTCGATCACCTCCCATTTATCTTCAATCAAGCATACCACCAATGAGTCCGTATTTCATAGAAACCTAAATTCACGCTACACCTGTCCGGTGGCTGTTGCTTGACTTTAGTAATCCTCGGTGGGTAGTACGCATGACGCAGGTTGATGCGGCATCCCACTAGTGAATTAACAAACAAAATAGAAGCGGGCGGGAAAAAGGAAGCCGGTGGGAACGAGAAACTGGTTTATATTTATACTTGGCCTAATAGGTTTTATAGCATTAGGCTGGTAAATTTTACAATGCCTGATGTACATGTATATCTACATCTCACACTGCCGTGATGCAAGTTTAAATAAACTTTATTCCAACCTGTTAAAAAAAAGTGTGAATGCAAAAACATTACATGTTGAATAAATTTGTGTTCAATCTGTTTTCTCAACAGTGGAAATGGCTCCAACCAGGAGAGCATCTTGTAAGGTGGCAAGATTTGCTTCCTCCAAAAGCCAGCCCCCAGGAAACGCCACAAACAAGGGTCGGGAAAAGCTGACCTCATCAAAAGCTGGAAAACCATCGGGACTGGATGGCAGCGACACAGTAAGACGCACGCGTTCCCAGTCTGCACTGAGGTCTAGGGAAAATGTGCAGCTCAGAATCAACAATGATGTTTGTAACAAAGAGTCACATCGAGGTCATGCAAGAGGTCCAGAAGCAGTCGAACAGGCGTCCATTTCAGGCATTTGTTTTAACAAAGAGTGCCAAACACGGAAAGATATGAAACAAAAGAAATCTTGCAGCAAAGCAGTGAAAGACACTAAAAAGAGAAAACGCTGTACCAGATGTACATCTGGTAAATCAAAGAAACGTCTCAAGGGAGACATTCAGACGGAAGATATTTCTGTACAGGAAGCAGTGCCACCTGCACCAAGTCAGAAAATCGAAAGCAGAAAATCCACACCGGAAGTCCCTGCTAAGCCACAAGTGGACAGTGGTGAAAACGCTTCCCAAGCTTCTCCAGACGGGCATCTGGAAATTAAAACCAGAATTGGCCTTATACGACAGCGCATACTGGAGGAGCAGGCACGAGTGCGGGGACTCGGAGACCAGCTTGCCAGAAACAAGGACACGGAGCGTGCCTCGCTGAGTTGCCGCCGGATTCGCATCCACAAGGAGCTGAAAAAGCTCCGGGAGAAGGTCCAGCTGGAGGATAAGAGGCGGCTGCAAGCCAAAGACCACCGGATACAGAGACAACTAGAAGCCGGCAAGAGGAAGGTGGACAGCGAGCGCTGGTCGATGAGGACCAGACTGGCCAAGGAGTGGAGGGACCGATTCCAGCGGCGAAAGAGCGAGGTGCGACGAGCAAAACAATCCCTAAAGGCACAAATCGGGGCCCATCAAGTGGACAAAAGAGAACTTCTGAAGCAGCTGCAGAAAGATTGGACTGCACAGCTGAGCCGAGTGCAGGCAATGAGAGAGAGACTGGAGATGGAGATGGTACGAGGAGGCCAGCAATGGGATGGTGAGATGTGGAGAACCGGCACCATGGGGAAACACAAGTACAGTCTACGACGGGCACCAAGAGAGAAGACACATGTCTATTGCAGAGCTTGGAAGATGGCCAATAAGAAAGTGTCATCGGAGCCAAAGAAGCAAGATGAGGTGAGTAAAGATGATGAAGAAAATGATGTATTCTTAACCCTTCCCCCCTCCTCAATCCTCCAAATCCTCCTGCCGGTTTTGGATGCCGGAGGATTGAGGATGAATGGCAAAGATATATCGGTTTTTGTGGAGGATGCATTATGTCAAGCCAGTAGGCCATATCCTGCGTTGGTTATGTTCAGCCATGCATAAATCAGCCCTGTGTTTTTCTCGTATTTCATCCGCACTGCTTCTAAACGCCATTCCCACTGCCTCAACCCATAGCAGTAATTGGCAGAGGATTTTGGAGGATTGAGGCAGTGGTCACCCTCCACAGACTAAATTCAAGAAATAACGGATGATTTTGGCGGATTGTGACTGAATCCAATATTTTTCTTGGTGGCAATTGGAAGATTTTGCAGGATTGAGGTTGCATCCTAGCCAGAGGGCGTAGGGATTAGGGTAAATTCTATGGGAACACCAGAAAAAGATTTCCTGAAAGTTATGTTTTGCAACTGTATGTGAACATAAATTTAAGGTTTCATCAAGTTTTTCAACTCAGATTGAAATTCATTTCATCGACATTAAACTTCAGATTTAACATTGCTGAGAAATGTTCAATAGTCTTTGGGCTGTAGGATAAATAAATTGACAATCTTTCATGCAATCAATAAAAGATGAAACTGTACATGTAGGTTGCACTTTAAGTGGGAGCTTTACATACTGTCAGCATGATGCATTCGAAATATTTCCGAATCAACTTTTTATCAATTTTGTTGATAACCTTATTAGGCTATAATTTTGAATCCATATGATTAATAATGTATGTGAAAGTGATGTTTATACCTGATGTTCATTTGCGCAGTTAAGAATACCAAACTAGTTTGTTTCTTTTGCAGAACTGTCCTGTGTCCCAGAGTTTTTTTATTTAAATAACTTGATCTCCGTTCCCTTTTTTTTCAGAAGCCGCCCAGCGGAGGGACCGTTTACAAGGAAACCAAGCAGAAGACACTGATGGAACTGTATCAAATTCTGGATAGCGAGCTTCGATGCAGCATCTGCTCTGAACTCTTCATATCTGTGAGTTAAGAACTCAGTTGTCTACTAAAACCCACACTTAAAGCCAGGTTCAAAAATTTAATAGTTTCTTGTCAAGGCTTTTTGGAAAAAGGGAGGAGGCCCTTTTATTTTGACTTATAAATGTTTTTATGGTTTAGCTCCGGTCTACCTTAGCCAACTTATCATTAAGAATCCCTCATCCCGTTACAATCTTCGTAGTTCTCACGATGACACTCTCCTGGGCTACCCTTTTCGCCGTACCAAAGTTACCCTTGGGGATCGTGCTTTTGTTAATGCTGCCCCTACACTCTGGAATGCCCTTCCGATTCACATTAGGAGAGCTAACAGTGTTGATAACTTCAAGTCTCTGTTAAAAACTCATCTTTTTAAGTTGGCCTTTTACTGATTTTATTGTTACTTCTTTGTATTTTAACATGTGAAATGGTGGGTCGTTCTAAGCTCCTTGCGAGTAATTTTTTGCTGTTACTTTTTTATTTTTAATGTGTGTATTAGCGCGTCATGGTACATTTTTAGAGTGTATTTTCTTGTATTCTAATTAATATTTTACTGTACAGCGCATTTGAACAAAATCATATTGGAATTTGCGCTTTATAAATGAATAAATTATTATTATTATTATATTATTATTCATTTTAAATGCAGGCTGTGGTCCTAAACTGCTCGCACACCTTCTGCAGTTTCTGCATTAAGCAGTGGAAGAGGCGGACGGATCGCTGTCCCATATGTCGGGCTAGCATCACGTCCAGAAACCCCATCTCCAAGCTGGACCCCTTCCTCACCAAGCTCTGCCGTAGAGTCGGCCGGGAGGTTGAGAAGAAGCGAGCCGAGACCATCAAAGACAGACAAGGTGACGAGGCTTGTGTGAACCCTGCACATCCCATGCCCTCCCCCTAGAGATTGAACATTTTAGATATTAGGCCCCCCCCAAAAAATAGTCAGACCTGGTCAGACCAAACTTCCAGAATTGATGCGGCGATGCTTTTTTTTTTTCATGCTTGGATTGTACAGCTGTCACATGACACAATACCGAACGGTCTAAGAGTTTCCACGCCACAAACAATGGACACTGAAATAAGGGGCATATTTCATTTATTTAGACAGTCAGGCTTCAATTCACAATCACAATTGCCCACATCGCATGTCAACACGTCGATACGTGTGTTGTTGACTAGCTGCCAGTGTTGTTGATCAGCTGGCAGCAACTTCGTACCCATGGCTACTATCATCCGTGCAACATCAACCTCGTACTGGATCTATCACTGGGTATGAGCTGCCCACGAACATTTGAGGCGGTGCCGCAATAAAGGGCGCTGTTGTAGCTGGTGTGGACAATTAAAAAAAACCCAAAAACATTGATGCGCACGATCAAAATTGACGCACACGCTGACCAGAGACCGACCATTTATTTTTTTGGCCTTAAGATGTTGACTTTTCCCGATATTTTGAAAAGCCAAGAATAGACCAATTGAAGGAAAAGAAGTGAAATTTGCTGCTCTTTAGATACCATGGATATAATTATGCATTTTGTTCATACTCTCAAGTAAAAAATCTATAGATAATCTACGCATTTGCTTATGCCGTAATTTTCAGAAATGGATGGATTTGGGGCTTAGAGTATTATAGAAAATATCGTTCCACTGACCTGTTTAAAGTTTTGTGTTCATGGATGCAAGAATAAAAAACAAGAAAAAAACCTGTTCTTGTAGTCTTGTTCTCTGACCCGACGCTTCAGATGAAATGGAACAATTTATAAACGTCAGGGAATTGTCAGGTCAGGGAACGAGACTAGCTGCCTTATGTCAGTTTACGGATATTTAACCGATTGCAGACAAACTGTGGACTAACTAAATTAGGTCAATTGGGGGCAGTGTTTGAAAAAGCCGGTTTTGTTTCCAACGATGGTTAGGCCCAACCATTGTTGGAAAATGATACAAAATTCCACTATTCTTGAAAATGACAGCATACCAGGCGCAATGATTTTCACAGGATGCTGCTTAAGACTATTATTCACTTACAGTCAAGGTATTTCATAATAATTTGGAAGTTATGTATTTTATTGATTGCAAATGTTGTATTTTGCCTTTAATTCAACTTCACTTATAAAATCTGTCCATCTTATTTCTGTGAACCCTTACTGAAAGCAGTACTTTCCGAATTCTCTTACTTTCTTTCCCTAACTTCTGAGCATCAGTGTGATGTTATTTTAGGCAGAAACCTCAGTGTTACAGTTATCTCAGCACAAAACGTTACCAAAATGTTGAATATTTTGTCGTAAATTTCTGTTTTTGGTGATTTGTTATTGTTTCAATACACAACAGTAAGCCAATAATATGCAAACATTTCTCACAAATATTTTGAATAAGCAGATTTTTCAGTTCACAATTTGAACAGAAAAACAGAAAAGCCCTTAACTGAAGAATATGTTCCTAAAATGACATCACATCATGAGCGCCCTCAGTTGTCCAGAAAAGCGTGGAACATTAAAAAGTTTATAGAAGTACACTTAAAAGAAAATCAAAAAAAAAAAAATCAAATGGTTTTCATTCATTTGTGAGGAAAAGAAAGTTGCACAAAATATGTTACTACTCATGTCATGGTCCCGTTAACCATTTCTGTGTCGTTGATTGATTGATTTATTGATTGATATTTTGTTTATACTGTATATTCCAACTGACCGCAGGCCAGGAGAAGGAGCTGAAAGAGGGAGGCCGTACATGGGGCAACTTTGCCAGCCACTCCCTAGAGGACTGGGACATGGATGATGATGACGATTTCAACGGTTCACTGGACAGCGACGACGACAGTGACGTTGACGAGTTTCTGGAGATCCTCCAGGACCGTGTCGGGGGCTCCGCCTTCCGTCGATTCTTCGGCTTTGGCCTCGTTGACGATTTGGAGGGCATGGACGACTCGGACGACGATCTGTTCTCCTCCAGCGACGAGGACCTGGACTCTGATGATTTTGAGGATTTGGACAGTGCATTCTTGGGTGAAGATGATGACGACGAAGATGATATGCTTTTGTAAAACTCAACAAATTATCTGTGGCCCTCCTTGAGACACTACAGCTTTCTATGTTAAGTAGGCCACATGCAGTGACTACTTTTGTGGTGGGAAGACGTAAATATACTTGTCCTTTCGCATCGCATGAATAAGTCTCTCTTAAATGACGTCACTTCCTACAGATTGCCATGTGCATCGGCATTTTGGGCGTCAAAGTTTCGTGACGCGCATAGGCTGCGCCGTATTTCAAAGAAATTTCAAGCAGCATGTGCGCGTTTAGAACATGCACCTGATGGCGTTGAATGCGCAGTTATCATTTTCCTACGAAGATGGCGTTCTATGAGAGAGATCTTTACCTTTTCAAGAGCCATCTTTTTGCCACAATTTCTATTCTCACATAAAATAATAGAGATACTTATTGAAAAGAATTATTTACTTTAAACAATCTAGAACTTTATACAGTATAGAACTGCACCATTCATTTACATCATATGAGCCAACAAACTGTGTATTAAGTTGAAATGTTCTTGGAAAAAAAAACATTCATCAAGGCTGCTGATAAAAGTTGACTTACCAATCCTACAGAATACATGCAGCAATAATCAAATCTACTCTTGGGAATTTCGGCAGCGCTGCCCAGACAATTTTGGAGCATACCTCATGGGCGTGCATTAGCTTGAATAAAGATTGTATTAGACTGTTGCATTGCAATTTCATGTAATATAGTATTGTAATGAATGAATACTTAATGTTCTCATTAAGAAAGTTGATATGGCAGGTATGTACTGGTGTCAATATACAGACCCATGATTTAGTGATATGAGTTTAAATAATGAAAGGTTTGCGGAAACACCATGTGCGAATAATTTCTCAACTGAGAGAATGGTTCTGAAAAGAACCAGAGGTATAAACTCGACGTTCCGGTCAGTATGCTCTGACCGTCTTCAGGAGAGTGCCTAAACTCTAAGAAGTGGATACTTAAGTAGCAAAAGGCGAAGTCAATGAAGTGAGAAGTTGCATCCTGTGAGGATGCCAAGTAGACAGGATCCCTGAGCAAGCTTAGTGCCCACTGAAGTGGAACAGTAGGGTTGCAGTGTCAGTAGAGGGAGGACCTAGGGTATAGGAGACCCATCAGTCTAAGGTGGTAGCTGAGGACCTAGGGTATAGGAGACCCATCAGTCTGGAGTAGTGGGAGCCAGATGTCGTTGAGGTGAAACCCGATGTCTTGCGGAACTGTGTTGTGCTCTCTCAGTTGAGAAATTATTCGCACATGGTGTTTCCGCAAACCTTTCATTATTTAGTATCTCCACCATGCAAAGCCTCAAATCTTACTGATATGAGTTTCTTACAAATAATACACAGAAAGGGTCCAGCCATTTTGGCAGCAACATTTTTGGCAGCGACTATTTTTTTCTTTCAGGTGCTGACAGTCTTATTTAATTAAATGAACTCACTTGATTGTAACTCTTGGATTCCAAGAAATAAAGTATAATTATGTCCATGTTTTGCCATATGGAAGTTCTCTTGTTTATAATTTACATCCATAATGAACTTGGTAATTTGTTGGGTTAAAAGGTTGGGACCCTGAGTGTGTGGATATGTACATGTACATGTGTACTAATACGGTTTGCATGAAAAAGTGTCCTGTAGGCACATGCCTGCCCACACATATTCCCAGATGGCAACCCCCCCCCCCCCACCCCCACCCCCAAAAAATCAAAAGTTGCCCCTCGATCGTCCAAGAAGCATTTTTTTGTTAAGTATTTTTTTAACAAGAGGAGGAATGACTCGATGCTATTTACCTTCACTCTGTGGATTTATGAAAATTTGGAAACACTTTTGTGGATCTGCTCTTGGTGCCCCCCCCCCCCCCACCCCCACTGAAAAAAAAATCCTGGCTCTGTCGCCAATTAAGTTCATAAAATGCAATATTAGGTTTTTTGACGCCACAAACTGATGTCACTACACCTCCCTCGAAATAGCTGTTTAATAAATGTTGCTAGCCCCACCCCGCCTCACCCTTCCGCCGCCCCTGCCCCGCCTCTGCCCTGGTCTGCCCCTGCCCAAATTAAAAAAAAAAAAATGGGTCCAAACTCTCTTTCCTTTTTAAAAAAATCCTTAAAAAAAAGGTTGTATTTTGTATGCATCTACATTGTCTTTTTATGGAGGAATAATAAGGAACACTTGAATAAGACACGATCTGTGCACGATACAGACGTTGCACTGTCTGGATAGCAGTGCGACGAATGTCGGACACTTCGCCCCATTTCCACGTCGCCCCATGTCACTTCGCCCCTAACCACTTCGCCCCATCCCCACTTCGCCCCATTCCCACATCGCCCCATCCCCACTTCGCCCCATTTCCACTTCGCCCCATTCCCACTTCGCCCCATCTCCACTTCGCCCCATCCCCACTTCGCCCCATCCCCACTTCGCCCCAGCCGTTACACGTAAAAAAAAATCTCATCTATTTTTTTGGCTTAAAAAACAATTTCAACAGATTCACTGGAGTAATTGCAGAATACCCCGCCACTCGGAAATACACCCCTAAAATCACTGGCTACGAGGTTGGAATCACTGGAAAAGAAACAATTCAAGTCCATTGCCAGCTACGCGGAATACTGAGTGGGGGTCCATTATTTGAGAACGAAGCAACACAAAATGAATGGGAGTTGCTGAAAAAAATTCCAAGTCCAAACCAACCACCCTGTTGGCGGCTACGAGGCTACGGAGTGGGAGTCCCCTTGAATATACTTGAGAACGAAGCAACACAAAATGAATGAGAGTTGCTGAAAAAATTGTAAGTCCAAACCAACTACCCTGTTGGCGGCTACGCGGTCACGAGGTGGGAGTGCAATGGAGCATGACGCATAGTACATACAAGTAGCGCTGAGAATGTATATTGAGGTCAACCAACCGTGACCTCGTAGCCGGCTACGAGGTGGATAGATCGAGTGGCGGGGTATTCTGCAATTGTGCCGATTCACTAATTGCTAACCAACGGAAAGAATTAGCCCATCACCAAATGAACAATTCATAACCAACCTTTCAAGCTAGGCTCTCCCTAGCCCGACTGCGTCTGGCCGTACAGTACTATCGCAAGCTCTGTAGTACGGCCAGACGCCCGATGCTTCCACAGAGACTGAATTTTGTTGGCCGCCGATGTAGCGATTTTGCTACATCTTTCGATCGCAATTATCTTTTCATCAAGGACACAATTTTCCAAAGTTAAGGTTCGTAGTCGTAGAGCAACTCATACCTTTTCGAAAAAAACGTTCTTTGGTCTCAATATTTTCATCCATCTGGCCACAAGACGAATTTCAGTCATCAGATTCCACAAATATCGTCCCCCATGCGATCCCCCATGCGATTTCAAAATGGCGGCCGCGCTGTAATGTATGCAATATGCAGGCGCGCCCGCGCAAACTCATGAATATGCATAAACAGTCTGTGACGTATAACCTCGTGACGTATGGCCCCGCACGGGTCCGCACGCACGTCCAAAAACACGAGGTCAACGTCACAGACTGTTTATGCATATTCATGAGTTTGCGCGGGCGCGCCTGCATATTGCATACATTACAGCGCGGCCGCCATTTTGAAATCGCATGGGGGATCGCATGGGGGACGATATTTGTGGAATCTGATGACTGAAATTCGTCTTGTGGCCAGATGGATGAAAATATTGAGACCAAAGAACGTTTTTTCGAAAAGGTATGAGTTGCTCTACGACTACGAACCTTAACTTTGGAAATGTGTGTCCTGGATGAAAAGATAATCGCGATCGAAAGATGTAGCAAAATCGCTACATCGGCGGCCAACAAAATTCAGTCTCTGTGGAAGCATCGGGCGTCTGGCCGTACTACAGAGCTTGCGATAGTACTGTACGGCCAGACGCAGTCGGGCTAGGCTCTCCCCTACCAAGAAAAAAGCTTGAAGTAAAAGATCCAACTTTGTTCCCAACCCGGCTATACCAACCCGTCTCCCACTTATCTGAGAACGACAATACCTTTGACATCCTAATTTCACTCTTGGAGGAACCAATCTCATCTAAATGAAGTTGTAAGTGTCACATATCAGACAAATTTTGACGGAACATTTTCCTCAAGGCAGTGAGTTCCTTTTAACTCACTGACCCATACCTACGGATTCTTTTGAATCCAGCCGCTTCCAGCGGCTGATGATTCACAAGCCAATAGGAGAGGCGTCTCTGAATGGGATAGAGCCATCATTTCTCTCATCTGTGTCTCGAGCACCTCATCAGAGAGTTTGTATTTTTCCTAAGTTTCTAGAATTGGGAGCATTTATTATCTGGGGTCTTTGGCAGTTTATTTGGTCTGCACCCCTAGCCTTCACCTTTTTCATACTACATGGGGCGAAGTGGGGATGGGGCGAAGCGGGGATGGGGCGAAGTGGGGATGGGGCGAAGCGGAGATGGGGCGATGTGGGGATGGGGCGAAGTGGGGATGGGGCGAAGTGGTTAGGGGCGAAGTGACATGGGGCGACGTGGAAATGGGGCGAAGCGTCCGACACCCCAGTGCGACCTCAAGAGTCTTAAGTCCAAAGTAAGTAAGTGCGCGTTGCGTGTTGTGCTGTATGTGAAGGGAATCATAAAGAAAGCTAAAGATAAATAATGACTTTATATTTCAAGCTGTAGTGTGAGTATTTTTGTTATTCCTTGTATGAGAATATATGCAGTACAAACGAGGCCTTTCCGCCTATTGTTTTATACAAGAATGAATGCCTTAAGTTCAACACTGGGGTATCCTCGACCCTCCAATTCTGCGCAGGTAATGCTTGGAACGCACTCGCGTTTTCAAACGTAAATCGAAGGCGGTGCGCAGAAATAGGATCGGTAGATTTAGGGGGTCTGACGAGTAGGCCTATATCGATGACTAATGGAGAAAATGTTGTAACCTGACGCCACATCAGCGGTTGTGTACAAAGTCTATGGAGAGTCAAGAACATTTTCTAAGTATTTCTTAACAAAATTGGAAATGTTTCTCAGTCCCATTTCATGTATCATCATTTTTGCAATGACTGACCTTCATTGAGATCAAATTGATATATGTAGAAAATGGAATAAAATAGTCTGGGTTTTAGCTTTAGCAGCTGACAGTATTTATTTCTGCTGAGCATGCATCATCTGGAGTAACTCTAGCTAGACAACACTAGACTGGGGAAAAAAAAATGTTGCAACCTGATGCCACTTCCGCAGTTGTGTACAAAGTCTATGGAGAGTCAAGACAATTTTCAAAGTATTTCCTAACAAAATTGGAAATGTTTCTCAGTCCCAGATTCATGTCTTATCATTTTTGCAATATATAATTTTTGCAATGACTGACCTTCATTAAGATGATATATGAAGAAAAAAGTTGAGTCAGGTTGCAACATTTTTTCCTAAACTGGTTCCAGTTCTGGTCCTCAGGTCCTTCATGATTTATTTATAGTTCTCACTCAGTATGTCATGTATGTAGGAGGCGGGAAACAGTTCAACAGAGCAAATCTTTAGGGACTCTCAAAAGGCACTTGCAGAACAAATGTCTCAGTTTTTCATGTTTAATTTAATTGTGCTCTGTTATAACTCTGTTCATTCTGTGTTCCCTGAATAATTGCCGCAAGTGTTTGGTGAGTTTTATTTTGTCATCCTTATTTTCATGTTGTGTTTTGTCGTCGTAGTAAATTTACCCTCAAATTTCAAAACCCTGCACTCTATCTATGACATACCTGTTTGTTCTTAATGCTGCCAATTAGATTGGTATTCAAATAAATTAAAAGTGGATTTTGTTCTCTTATAGGACCGGGGCCCTACACTACACGATCGCCTTTTTTTTTTTCACTTAATATAGGTGGGGCGCGGATATCCGGGAATTTTTACATGAAATCTGTGCCTCTAGATAATTCAGAAACTAATTCATCAATTTTGTGACTTTCTATATATGACAGCATTCATGTTTATACTGTGGATTGCTAAAGACCTTGCGTAAAGCATGCTGACTCGCTTGATTGGCCGCTCCTCTACTTTGGTCAGTCGCTCCTGGCTGTCAAGATGTGTCGTCGTGGCTCGTTACCATGAGGATCACGGTGTCTACGGCTACAAGCCTACTGCTTGGAAGCAAAACCACATTTCAGAAGACACAGGTATAAATTCAAAGTAGGGAAAATCTGTGATGTTGTGCATGGTTTTTGCCCAAGGATGCAAATGGACCGTGAGGCGAAGGGAAGATTGCCACTTGCCTCTGATGTTGTACAAAACCAATGGACTTCGTCATACAGAGGATTGTTTTCTCAAACCGTGGTATTATTTTGGGTAGCTCTTTTGGGTCTTTGAGGAGGAATAAAAGGATAAATAAATAAATAATTTTTTGGAAAAAAAGATGTGATTTTTTTTTTGGGGGGGGGGGGTTCTGACACCCTTTGACATTTCTAATTCTGAAGTCCAATGCTTTTGTTCTTGACGTGCGCATCAGCATTACACACACGTGGGTCTGCAGAGATGCATGGATCATTTGCAAACACTCAAAAACACTTGATTGTAAGTAAATGAAACATTAGAACATCCTGTGAAATCGTTGAGCCTGGTATTAAACAGGCATGCAACTTTTCCTCGGATCAGCTGATTTCCTCTTTTTTCACTTCCAATGTGTGCCATTGGAAATAGAAAAACACTGTACAAAGTCTTGGAAAGATTTGAATTTCCTCTTCTTTTGTGACTTCCCAGTTGCATGCCTGATTAAAGAACAGAGGAATTTTGTATCAGTCGTAACGATGGTAAGGACCTATTCATCACTAAAAAACCCCAGTTTTCTCAAATACTACATCTGTTAAATGGCTGCGAGCCAGCTGTTGTCTTCATGCTTATGTTCAGGTACGCAACATATTATGTATATGTGTACATTACTTTCCCACGACAGAGCTGGCACTCGGGCACTCCCTGTGGCCTATGGGTTCTATGCACGCAAGATTCTGCGAGCTGCCGTTTGATGGTTGAAAATAAACAGCATTTTTTTTTTTTTTTCCAGCACCATTGGAAAACAGCGTACAGCTCAGTAGAACAATGTCTGCTATAACTTAATAGCCCTTAAATCGATCCATTTCATGAAATTACGACAAATGCAAATGATCCTTACGTACCTTAAACTCAACCAATGAAATTTTGCATGCAATGCTTACTGTAGTTTCTTATTGATATTACTAGTCTTGTCGGAGTATAATATATATATATTTTTTCCCCGTTTTTATGTATTCTCTGTACAATTTATCCCTGGTTTTCCTGCCATTTTCCTCATCTGTTCACAGTGAGCCCAGATGCTCAGAGGAATTGCGCCAACAATGCGCCTTTGGTCCGATTGGTGGAGGCCTACCGTTACCATGGTCACAAGAAGGCCAAGGTGGATGCGCTGGACATGCAGAAACCCAAGTGAGTCAATAACGATCAGGTCAAATCAAATAATAGGGAGGTACAGTACTCAGTGCTACCCCTGCTCATTGGGCCCATTATTAACTTCCCCAGACCATCTCGGCTCCCTGCGGGGGGTAGAGCTTGATGCTGCCATTTTTAACGGCTAATTCAAACACAATGATCCTGTCTACCCTCAAAGACACCTATTTAACAGCAAGGTCGGAGAAGTTAAATTGTGACAAAGTGACTTGCCCATGGACTCTCACTGAAATCCAACATGCCGGAATCTAATCTACAATGTGTGGGGATATCAAGGTTCTACGCTAACATGACTCTGACGAGTCAGTCCACAGAACCACAACATTCCAAATTGTATACATTTTGAATATCACATTTACTGCCAATTATTCGGCATCATTGTTTCATTCAGTAGAATTTCATTTCTAACTTATTCAGGTGTAAAAAATGAGGTTTAAAAAGCAATTAAATTAATTATGAAATAGAGCATTAATTCAGGCAGTAGTTGGAATTTTTATTGGAAACTGCGACTTCCAAAAAAGTTTACAGTGGCTGTTGAGATTCTTTTTTTGTGCGTGGTTTTTATGAGTTGTGTTTTGGTATTTTATTTTGATGACAGACCCACCCCCGAGCTTGATCCAGCACACTACGGACTCTCAACTTCAGATGACATGACCTTTGACCTCACAGGTTTGTTTGAACGTCTGTCAAATTTGATAAAATCAAATCAAGTTGGACTTTAACATTATAATGAGTTTGCCGTTGTATGTTGGAACTTAAGTAGTTTTATGCAGTTTAGTAGTTTTATGCATTTTATGCAGTGTGTATGATTCAAAATCATTTAGGAGTCTTGCCAACAGGCTAAGATGGTTTGATTAAGAGAGAAGAATGATCAGGAAACATATTTTTTTTTTTTGCATTTCGGTAAAGTAATTTACCGTAATAGGCATGTGTGAAAACATATCATGTCAAGGAATAAATATGTCACATGATTCAGAATAAATTCTTTAACTTATATTCCACGGTGATCAGCATGATCTCACTATAATATCGTGTGCTGAATCGGTGGTCTAAATGCTGCAGGTTCCTGGTTGATTCGTGGAGGAAGTTTACATTTTAATTTTTTCCCCCCAAAGTGAATTTTCTTCCCTAATTGTGTTTAATCAATCTACATGTTCAGTGAAACAAATTTTAACCTTTTCTCTTTTTATTCATGACTCTGGAGGATTTTTTTTTTAAGGGAAGTACACATGAAAGTCCAAGAACCATTCCGTATTATGGTCATTGACTGAAGTTGGTTGCAGAAAATATAATTGCAGTCTGGAGGGCTAATTAGCAGAGTGTTTAACGATTGCACAATATGCATTTCTAAACAACCATGGCACCTAAAGGAAAAACCCTATTAAGACCATACTTGTGGACATCATTGTGGATCAAATAAGCCAGTAACTTTAACTAACTTTTCCCCAAAAACGTCAGGTATTCTGAATGTGGAGGAGACATCAGCTTCATTGACGGATATCATCCAGTATATGGAACGCATGTACTGTGGCAGGACCTCCGTGGAACTCATGAATCTACCGGTAATACTACATGCATTGCTGCAAATAAAATATTAATAATAACTAGTAATGAAAGTAAGGAAAGCCAAGTAAAAAATACGAGTGTTCTGCTGAAAATTTGAAATTTCAAAGTGATAACCTAAAAACCGCAAATCATTGTTGCAAAACTGCTAAAGTACATTCGTAAATGTTTGGTGTTTGGACTTTAGGCACATACACATAAACAATACTCATTTATATATATGTACCATGATCTTACTTCAAATTAATTCGGTAGGTTACTTTTGGGATAAATGCAAATGATCCTATATGCCTTTAATATGCAAATATTGAGAGATTGTTTTTAATCCAAGTAACGATAGCTCATTTCATAGAAATATACTTTATATCTTATGTCTAATATCTTAAAATCTTATAAGACGTCTGCTGTAGTAAGAGGAAGTTTGTGAGTTTGAGTCCCAGCTCTTGGATGGCATTAAATTGTTGTCACAAAGTTACTTGGGTGAAGACCAAAACCTACTGTTAAAATTGTCCCTAACCCTAACCCTGCTGAATCCAACAGGATCCAACTATGTCACATACCCGATGGAGCCTGTTGGATTGAGCAGTTAACCCCTTGTGTACATTCCTGATTGCAATATGTTGGATTCAGCAGGCAACTGAACCGCATTATAACGCATTGTTGGACTCCATTGGATTCAGCAGACAACTGAAAATGAGGCACAGTGGATTGAACAGGAAAGTCCGTTTTTAGCAGGGTAGTCCTGAGGAAGTACTAGGGGGTTAGGGATTCATACATTTAGATTTTTGTTTCCTCTTTATCTATTGTTTGCGTCGAAGAAAAGATCAGTTTTCTTTTCTGGTTCCCATTTTTTGGCAGACGATAGCAGAGCGGGAATGGTGTGCCCATCGATATGAGGAGTTACATCGATCGGTCCTCTCCAATGAAGCAAAGACAGAACTGGCTGTACTCTTGGCTAAGGCTCAGGTGGGAATCCTAAATTCCAAAGTCGCCTGTATTTTTAGTGAGAAATTGACAGTGTCCTTTTTTTTTTTTAGTCTTTTGACTATGTCTGGTGATGTAAGCTAGAGGAATGGGCATTATCTAATCTGGGAGAGACTTTGAAGTTCTTGAAACATATTATGACAAATTGAAGATTATTTATAGTTTGAAAATGGGCCATAGCAATGGACAGTTTGTGTTCATTTTTTTTTTAAGATTGTAGAATGATTCAATTTTTTTTGAAAATCAAATAGAATATTTATCTTTCCATTTTTTGTTGTGCAAATTGGTTTTCACTTTTATATTATGAGACATGGCTTTCCTGTTTTCTTTCCAGGCTCTTGAGAATTTCATGGCCGTCAAGTTTACCACGGTCAAACGGTATGGAGGGGAAGGTGCGGAGAGTATGATGGGGTTCTTCCAGCAGCTGCTGAGACAGGCAGCGCAGTGTGAGTTCCATTCTCAATCTCATTCTGAGAGTATTTACATGCCATTTTCTTCAATAGAGTGTGTATTTGACATCAAAGACTTGATGGATTGTACGAGAATGCAGCGCATCGGGGCACGATGTATAGGATCTACAACGTGTGTAATGACGTATTTTTTTGGCATTTATATTGTGTACTGAATGGGCCCATCCAATCATGGGCAGTAAATGAGTATTTCGAAGGAAAACATTTCAAGCATTATAATTTACACATATTCAAAATATTGCTAATTGATGACTATTATGAACTTAAAATTGTTGACCTCAACTTCTATTCAATTGAACGTCCTCTACACCACAATGAGGTATCCTGCATTTGCCGGGGAGTAACCTGCAATGGACTGGCATCTCATCCAGGGGGAATAGAAGTATTCTCAGTTTTTTCATGCCAAGAAAATCGGGGATAAACACAGGCCTGATGTGCCATATGGGCCCGGGAGAGACTTTACTACTTAACTTACTAACTTTTTTTTGCACCTGTTTTTGTGTGTCGCAGCTGACCTAGAGCAGATGGTCCTGTGCATGCCCCATCGGGGCAGGCTGATTCTGCAGGTGGGCCTGCTACAGCTGCCTGCGTCACTCGTCTTCAGGAAGATGAGTGGTCTCCCGGAATACCCAGCATCCTCCAAGGACTGCACCGGTGACATCCTCACCCATCTGTGTAAGTCACATCGCTATAGGCATATGGCAAGCCAGGGGAACCAGGCAAACATGTGACACCCAGTGATTCAAACAAATAGCAAAATTTTAACCCCAACTTTCAGGGTATTTTCAAAGGAAGCTTCCCAGTTATCCACTGTGCTTAGGGTTACTGTGGCCTGGAAAAATACCTGGAAAAGTCATGGAATTTTATTTAGTCATGGAAATTTCAAAATTTGTAAAAATGAAAGGGTTCATGGGAAAAATCAGGGAATTTTGTGAGGACCAATTTGTTTTGAATTTTAAATTTTGTGTATTCGCAATTAGGCATCGTTAAACTGATTTTTATTCTCGACAAATGCAACAAATTTTGCTGATACAAACATTTTGATTTTGAATTTGTGCCCCGTGAGATCCACATTAAGAATGTGATAAAGCACCAAACAAGTTATACAGTTTTAATCTGCATTCTGATGAACTAAGTCATGGATTTTCATAATTTGGTCATGGAAAAGTCGTGGAATGTTATTGTCCTAAAGGTGCAAGAACCCCATAGCAGTAAACCATGGACATGTCCTTGGTGCTAAAACTGGCAATTTTGGTACAGGTACCAACAATTTGTGACTTTAATACCATTTAAGCCTCACATAAAATGATGTATTACATTTATCCTGAATCTTTTAAAATACTGCAGCTGCGAGGTGATGGTTTTCCACAGATTCCGAGCTGCAGATTTTGTACACAGACTGTGTGAACAAAACATTACACAGCCTTACACACAAAACACAAGTTTTGAGATTTCTGTATCGGCCTCCACCAGGGATGTAGTCGAGTCCATCACAAGTCCAGTCGCAAGTAATTCATGAGTCCATTCACAATTTCATTCACAAGAAACAATGGATGAACAATAAAAGAGGCATGCCTTGGTCAAAGCTCATTTGAATAGCTTGCGATCTGAATTGGGACTGGGGGACTTGTGATGGACTTGCAGGAAGTTGTGATTGACTCAACTACATCCCTGATCTCCATAACGACACCTATCACCCCTATCAACTAAGACGTACCGTTTTCTTACTCTGCATCCAGATCAGTCAGTAGACCTCGAATACGACGATGACAAACTACACTTCACCATGATTCCAAACCCTTCCCACCTAGAGGTAAGATCAAAACTCAGGGTGATACCAATACCGACCACTAGAAGGCAACATTGTAAAACTCCCGTCGACCCGACTTCAGAGTTAGTGTTACTAGCCAGAGCTGATGGGTCATTGTTACAGATTTACCTTTCAGTCTTTGTAATGTCTAGTCCACAAAATGCCCTTCAAATCTTTAAACAAAATGATTTGAGTGACACCGTTTTGACTGACTTTTGACACGAAAGTGACTTTCAAACTTTTTCTGTGCATTCTGCCACTAGAAAGGGACGCTGTACAAATTTCCTTTGCAGACAAACAGTATGTACATTGTAGTTGTATGGGATGCTAAGTAACACTATGTACATTGCAGTTCTTTGGGATGCTAAGTAACATCAGAATATCCAACGGGTACATTTCAATGGGACATTCAGACCAAGACCAAGGCATTGGAGGCCATTTCTTCAATGAGATTTAAGACAAAATCAACAAATGACCCTCTTGACGTAAGTACAAAACTGCCGTTATTGAGTGTACCCCTAATTCATATTAGGGCTTAGTCAATAATAGTTCATTATTATTTAAATTCATTTATTTTTTTGGTTTTGTTGTATTCCGTTAGGCCAACCTTCCAGTGTGTATGGGCAAGTCGCGCTCACGTCAGCAATCCCTTCATGAGGGGGACTACAGCCAAGATGAGGGGTCTTCAGTGGGAGACAGAGTCCTGTGTGTTCATGTGCATGGAGATGCTGCTTATGCTGCACAGGTAATGCTGTGAAAACAATGGTTGTCTTGTGTGATGCAGGATGCATGGCAAAGCTGAGTGTACGTCCTGTATACTGTTTCTTGGATTTGGCTTGGAATTCCACTTTGCTGTGTGATAACAATAATTATCTCACTCATACCACTTGCTTTTTGCAAACATGTAACACCCCCCCCCCATCCCCACTCCCGGCATGGTTACAAATTGTACTTTAGCAAGTCAAACAAGTTTGGTCCAAATGAACAAGTGTCCCCTGTATAGACCTTTATCATGCTGCCACCATTTTAGTCATGTTCCCTGTATCCAGTAACAGTACTGAATGATAATACTTTTTGTGCAAAAAGGAACCACACTCTTTTTCCTTCCAGCCCCGCTTTGGTTACGTTGATTTGAATGGGAAAAAAATCAAGATGGCCACATTATGATTATGTTTTATTAACGCCCAGATTCCAAGATTATTGCATTGAAATAAAATTAATTTAAATCGAACTGTGTTCAAAACTTGTTTGTTGACAATTTATCTGCATTGATATGTTATTTTAAACACTTTCTTTTTTGGTGTGCAGGGTATGGCCAATGAGATGCAAGTCCTTGCAGAACTCCCCCATTACAACGTGGGAGGGGCCATCCACCTAGTAGTGAATAACCAGCTGGGCTTCACCACTCCAGCAAACCGGGGGCGTTCCTGTACCCACTGCACCGACATCGCCAAACTGAACGGAAACTTGGTCCTTCATGTGAATGGGGACTACCCAGAGGTAACACCGCCCTCAGTCATCTTATGCGTCTGTTGTCACGGTTGCTGGTGGATTTTTCTATTTCCGATGTCATTAGACCATCAACTGATACGTTAAGCCCTGCCCCATGATGGTTTTGACCAATCACATTTGTGATTGATGTCTGACAGAAGTTTTGCGTGTATGGAAGTGTGCATCTGAAAAATGAATTGTGTGGTATTGGAAAGGCACATGTGTTTTTGCCCATGTGCCGGTGTGCATGGGCCCAGTGGATATGTCTGTGAATGTGTCTGTTGTCAAAAGAAAACTGCATTGACTTGTACTGCCACTGTATTTCAGGTGTCAGTTAAAAGCCCTAGAAGGTTGATTGTCCTCGGCCCAAAAAAGAGGGATTTTATTAGTGAAGTTCCTTACTATAGATCTGTGACGTTTGAGTGAAACAAGCAGAAGTGTTCAACTGAAAACTTCAAACAGTTTATTTTTTTGCAGTCAAACCTCCAGTCATTAATAGCGTAACTTTAAATCCAGATTTCAAACTATTAAAACAACACAGAAGTTAGGGTTCCCGCGGCATTGAAAAATGTCATGGAATTTTGTTTTCAATTTCCAGGCCTGGAAAAGTCATGGAATTTTGTAGGACCAATTTATTTCTCAAATCGTAAAACTTTGTTCAGGTATATTAATAATTTAGCACCAGAAATCCGCCTTTAAGCCATTTGGATTCATTCTCTTTTTTTATTCAGGAAGTTGTCAAAGCCAGTCAGTTTGCCCTGGAGTACCAACAGAAGTTCCGTCGGGACGTCTTTGTGGACCTCCAGTGTTTCCGTCGTTTGGGTCATAACGAGGTGGACGACCCGTCCTTCACGCAGCCAGCCATGTACAACATCATCCGGAACAGAACCAGTGTACCTGACCTGTACCTCAAAGAAGTCACGGTAAGCAATGATCTTGAAATCTTGTGCTTCCATCAGTGGATATTTCTGTGAGGTTTTCCACTTTTTGGGGCCAGGTTAATTCAGAGTTGATTCTGAACAGAAGTTTGACTCCTAGGCAGATCCAGAAATCGATTCCAAATACAAGCAAGATCAGTTCATTCATTCATTCATTCAATAGACATAGACAATTGCCCGTGGTCTCCTCCTCAAATTATACACAGTTGGGATCACTGGCTCCGCTCCCACCACAGCCCGTCTTTCCAGTGCTGGTGCTTTCAGTTTGATGGTGTCACACACTAACCATTCTCGGATGTTGTCTACCCAACGCATTTTTGGCCGGCCCATGGAGCGACGACATCCTTCTGGCATCCCATCCACAACAGCTGCCGCCATGCCGCCCTGCCGAACCACATGGCCCAACCACGATGCCTTTCGTTTCCATCACAGTGCTACTGGTCGCCGATCATCTCCATCAGGCTTTCATTTATTACATGATCTTTCCACTTCATGTTGAGCAGGTATCACCATATGGTTCGGCTGAAACTGTCTAGGCGTTTGATGTCAGATCAGTTGCTCAAACCTACTTTGTAAACCCTTCTTATTACTACTTTAGGAAGCAGGGGAAGTTGATAAATCGGAGATTGACGCGGCACTAGCCAAGAACCAGGAGGAGATGAGTCAGTGTCTGAAGGCAGCCAAGACCTATGAGCCGCAACCGACCACCCTCAGCAAGCAATGGAGCGGCTTTGTGGAGGCACCCGCACACATCACATCCTGGGATACAGGTCAGTGGGGGAGTGTTCTACTCAAGTCCCAAAGTTTAACCCTCCTAGTCTTCTGCACTTCACAACCCTTCAAGTTTTGCAAAGCCACTGTTGCCCAAAGAGTGAGCACTCACACTTCAAATTCATTTGAATTTGTCTTCTGTATAGTATGGATAACACTTCAAATCCTGTCACAGGTCATAATCACAAGCAAATCACAAGTCATCACCAGTTATCACAAGTTAATCATAAGTCTCCACTAGCCATCACTATTCAATCACAAGTCATCACAAGTCATTGCAAGTTAATCATAAGTCACCACTAGCCATCACTATTCAATCACAAGTCATCGCAACTCAATCATATTAGTACAAGTCAATTGCTAGTCACTACAAGTCAAACAGGCATCATAAACATCCTTCACAAGTCAATCACAAGTCACCACTAGCCATCACTATTCAATCACAAGTCATCAAAAATCATCAGAAGTCAATCACTAGTCACAACAAGTCAAAGACACATCACCACAAGCCTTTGCAAGTTATCATAAGTCATCACAATACAATCACATGCCCATCACTCATCATCACAAGTCAATCATAAGTCATCATCTGCAGTCACAAGTGACAACCAAGTGAACCGAGTCAAGTCAGTTAATTCCACAAGATGATTATATGGTGTAAAACTGTTGAATGACCTGTGCATTATTCTTTATTTAATAGGTGTTGACGTGGAGTTGCTGCGTTTTGTTGCTGCCAAGTCTGTGGAACTGCCAGAAGATTTTGTAAGTTTTTTGGCAAACGGTACCTACATTGCACCTGTTAATTTAGAGTTACAGAAAAGACAAACTAAAGAATGAAAAACTAAAGACACTTGAACACTCCTGACACAAAGCAAAAAATTTTTTTTTCAATTTAGTTTTTAGGATTTTACCTTTTCACCAAACAATGCTTTAAGCACCCTGTTCTCAGTGCTTTCCCAGAGCTAATGAAGAAAAACAGCAATTAGCAGCAATTTGAATCATCTTTACTTTTTATATTTTTATTCACAGACTCCCCATAACCATCTAATCAAGACATTCTTGGAGGCACGTCGGAAGAAAGTCATGGAAGGGGCGGCGATAGATTGGGCCACAGCTGAGGCGATGGCGTTTGGCTCTCTTCTATATCAGGGTATATGTGTCTTTCAACATTTTTCATGAAAGTTTTCTCCGGATTATTGCAAATATTTTCCCCCACCAAATTCCAAAAATGTGAACAATTTTCTAGTGCATCAACGTTGGGTCAAACCTTTTTTGAGCCGCTCCCTTCCAGTGTGTGATTGAGTCATGCCATGGTCGTAGGCCAGACTACTGACACCTTTTCTAGAATGGATATTAAAAATAATTATTTGAGCTGTTATTCAGACCGTAGATTTCAATGTGTGATTGAGTCATGCCATGCTTGTAGGCCAGACTACTGACATCTTTTATAGAATGGATTTTAAAAATAACTCTCCTCTATTATTCTGAATGTTGGTTTCAATATGCAAATGGCAGGATGTAGGCTGTGGTACCTTCAGTCATCATCACGCATATGACACCCACCTTTTATAGAATGGTTTTTCAAAATAATTCTCATCTGTTGTTCTGACGATAGGTTTCAATGTGCGATTGAGTGGGCAAGATGTAGGCCGTGGTACCTTCAGTCATCGCCATGCCATGCTCGTCGACCAGACCACTGACAGCGCATACGTGCCTCTCAACCACATCACTCCTGATCAGAAGGCATTCTTGGAGGTAAATCAGCCTTTTGGTGTGTTTCATGTGCCAGTTTCCTAGCAGGATATTTCATGTTATAACACCTCACCCACAGAGTCTGTGTCTTGATTGGCTGAGAGCGAGTCACATGGTACTTTCTATTTTTGCTATCTTTCTGTGCACGGCAAGAATTACTATATCGTAGCAACCACAGTACTATACCATTAGCAACCAAAGTACTATACCCATGGCGCGGTATTTGTGGGAAAATGCATGCTGGTGTGTGCGTTGGGCCTTGTGCGTAGCGCGTATTGTTCCAAAGAGAGCGTGCCACAAAGTTGGGTTCAAACATTACGTGAAGGGGTGGTTTGGAAGAGAGAAATACATTTCCCACCATTTTTTTTTTACTGAAATTGAAGTCTATTTTAACTATGGTCAGATTTAAATAATTTAAATACTAAAAAACAGAATCTGTGGGTGAAGAGTTATAAAACAAATATCGACTGCTTATCTCGTGGTGAAGTAAAACTAGCCTCCCTCGGTGATCCATGGAGCATTCTATATTCCCTCGACTTTGTCCACGGATCACCTTGGGAGGTTAGTTTTACTACACCATTCGAAGCATTCCATATTTGTATAATATATCAACAGTTTCATTTTTGAATGTTTGCAAAATGTTGTCCATTACCTTTCAGGTTGTCAACAGCCCGTTATCTGAGGAAGCCACGTTGGGCTTTGAGTATGGCATGAGCATCGAGAGCCCCAACAATCTCATCATCTGGGAGGCCCAGTTTGGGGATTTCTTCAACGGTGCACAGACCATCGTCGATACCTACGTCACAGCAGGAGAAGGTGAGGGATTCCTTATAGGCAGATCCAAGATCTGTCAAAGGGGTGGCTAAGGCATTCAAACAGGGGTGGCTAAGGCATGCAGACAGGGATGTAGTTGAGTCCATCACAAGTCCCTGCAAGTCCATCACTAGTCCTGAAGTCCCAATTCAACTTGCAAGCTATTGAGCTTTGACAAAAGCATTCCTTTTTTATTGTTCATCCACTGTTACTTGTGACTAGACTTGTGAGTGGACTTGTGAATTACCTGTTACTGAATTTGTATTGGACTTGTGATGGACTCAACTACATCCCTGATACAGAGACTAAAAGTATCTTTAAGCAATAAATCCATATTTTCAATATTACATATGTTATTTGAAGAACGGAAATTTGGCTTTTTTCCCCCCAGTAAACATTTTTTAGACATTAGCCACCCATACCAACCCCCTCCCCCCCCCAAAGAAAAAAAAAAATCTGCTAGTGGATTCCTTAAGCGGATAATAAAACTGAAACACCTCCTTGACTGGTCATCTTTGCTCCTCGGATGAGGACAGGCAAAGGCCTCCAAATTTCTGAAATTTCATTGGTTGCTTAAATTTGAAGTTTCACTATTCCCTCCTCCCCGTAGTTGGGCAACTAGACTCGCAAGCAAGTGCAATACCTACATGTGCAAATGTTCAAAGTTGATTCAAATGTCAAACTTCTCCGTAAATTTGCTTGAACATGATACAAGAACAAAGTTAGTTTATCAGGTTTATCATGTATTAAAGTTTGAATTAGGTTTCCAACACTTCTAGTTCTATGATGTGGATTGAGAAAAAAAAAGAAAAAAAATTGAGTGAGTACTGTCTATCTAGAAACCTGATTGGCTTGTGATGATTACCCTTATAAGTAAATGTCGACAAGGGAGTGGAAATACAAATTTCTCCAACTGTCAATGCCATCCATCATGTTATGTCCATGAAGATTTACAAACTTGCAGGTTGCTTGTGTTATGGGCTTCGTGCGCCAACAAAAGAGGGCACGCTTCTACCACTTCTGAGAGCCCCTTGGACGAGACACCGTGTGTGCGCACTGTAATTCGCCTGCAAAGTACGCATGACTTGTGTTTACCCTGTATGTGCACAAAGGAAAGGTACAGCGTCTTCGCGCGTGAGCGTCAGGCGTCGTTGGCGTGTGAATATGTTCAAATACGTTCGCATAAAACTTGCAATGGTCTCCCGGACTACTCCTGGCCCCCAATAACTTTTGATCATTCGAAATACGTGGTGGATGGACTGGAAACCAGTGTAGGTCACACCCCACTCTCCTTTTCTGGCCGTTGAATGGGTTCTTGTACTCGGACCCCATAGCACAAGTACATTACAATTTAAAGTTGTTGGAAAAGGTCTTTTCAATAAGTATTTTTCCTTTTTAGTGAAATGGCGTTTACAGAGTGGACTAGTAATGCTACTACCCCATGGGTTTGATGGAGCTGGACCTGAGCATTCCTCAAGTCATCTAGAGCGCTTCCTCCTTCAGACGGACAGTAAGGAGGATGCCATCGATGGGGATAACGTCAATTTTATGGTTGTTCATCCGACTACTCCTGCCCAGTATTTCCACCTTCTCAGGAGACAGGTTAACTTTTATTATTATTATTTTTTTTAATTTCTGGAAATAAAACCAATGATTCCTCAAAAGGGCCCTAGGCACTATAGCTCGCAAGCTTGAAGAAACCTGTACAGAGAAGACAATGAGAAGAAATTACAGTTTTAGAAGTGGGAGGAAAAGCCCAGAAGAATATTCTGGGGAAAACCCACGGAATCAGGTAGGGACTAAAAAATCCCAATCCACATGTGGACCAGGGCAGGAATCGAACCTGGGCCATAGAGGTGGAAGGCGAGGAAAGAACCACTGTGCCAACTGACAACCTCCCCCCCCCCCCCTGCAATGTAAGATTAAATTTAGATCCATATAGGAGAATATATGTGATCATTTCATCGCAGTCAATTCAAGCTCCATTACCATCTGGGCCCAATTTCACGGCGCTGCTTAACAGTAAGCAGAAAAGTTGTGTTTAGCATAGCAGAAAAATTTGCTAACCTTAAGCACTATTTCACGGCGTGGACGTGCTAACGGTCGCGCGCGCATGGAGATTTCTATTGTCACGTCACTACGTTAAGCAAATTTTTCCTCTGAAGTAAGCGTGCCTTTTGCTGTGCTTATGCTTGCGGTCTCCAAGAAATAGACGGAGGCTCTGTTAGCATTAAATCGTGTGCTTACCAGCGTCGTGAAATTGGGCCCTGTTCGTTCATAGAAAAGACATTGTACTCCTTGGTGATAATAAGCAATTACATGTAATTACTAAAAGTGTCATAATTACAAGGACAGATATACCACATCCCCTCAAGCTGTACTCAAACCAAAACTGGATTGTGTTTTAATGCCATATTCATTTTCACCAGTAAATCACCTCATAACCAAAATTCAACCTTTGTAATCTCATTAAAAATTATGCAGGCATTTGTGCCAAATCACTTGTAATTAAATTGTTATTCTTCTCAGATGGTGAGAAATTTCCGCAAGCCGTTGATCGTCGCTTCCCCTAAAATCCTGCTGCGGTTGCCTGAGGCCGTCTCATCGCTAGCCGAGGTGGCCCCGGGAACCAGCTTTGTGCCAGTCATTGGAGACACTACAACTAACCCAAAACAGTAGGTCCAGCACCCGATTTCATGTAACTAACGATGTGTCGCATGGCTGTGACATGTCATATCCCTGCGACGTGTCGCGGCGACAACATGTCCTGCTATTCATTTCACAAAACACGTCACAAGTATGAAGAGTAGGAGTAAGTTCACCCAACATAACCCTATAATGTCAATAGCTACACTGACCAATAAAAATAGATAACAGGAAAACAAAACAAAAAAGGAAATAAGTAGGAAAAATATTCATATACAAGAAAGAAGAATAAGAGAGGCAGGTTATAAGAATTTAAAGAAACTTCCAAGTTAAAGGTAGAGTCCATCATTTGTAGTTTGTGCATTTTGTTCGTTTTAAGCAACAAAAGTGCTCAAAATCTAAAGAAGGGTGCTGAACAACTAACCAGATGAAATTTCAGCTCAGCTTCGGCTGTATATATTTCGAAGAAAAAAAACCATCATTCTAGGATTTCAATTTCAAATCAAAAGTTGCTGAATCATGTTTTGAAATTGGGCCTGAACTTAGCGTCCCAGACATGTTCTCACTGAGCCGATTGCAGCTACGCGATTTCGTGTACTGATCTGATGAGTTATAGCAACTGCGCGCACATGTGCGTCGTGTAATCGCTTGCGGGCTTCACCGAAAAAACAAAACTACTAACGGAAATTTCCAATGATACGTCTCATTGGAAAAGCCTTCTTTCATTGATTTCTTCAAAATGACAGCTTGCCATAAAGAATAATTTCACAGGGAGTTTAGTTCCCTTACTATCTTTCAACCAAGTAGGTTTTTCAACAATAATTACGTCAGTTCTGTTTTAGCCTCTGAAGAAGAACTTGCTAAGTTCGCAACGTCAGGCCACATTAATTTTTAGATTTACAGTTACTTTTTAGATAGCTGCAAATGATGGACTGCAGCTTTAAACAGTGACAAGATTTATTAGCACAAAAGATATTAGGAGTTGATCGACTTCTTTCCGTTTGTGTTTGTTGTACTTCATGGGATTTTGTTCATTGGTGTGTTTTTTTTTCCATAGAGTGGAAAGGGTCATCTTCTGTTCTGGTAAGCACTACTATGCACTGCGCAAGCAGCGGGAACAACGGCAGGCAAAAGACAACACGGCAATCATCAGAGTAGAAGCTCTGTGTCCGTTCCCCGCGGAGGAGGTTCAGCGAGAACTGGACAAATACCCTAATGCTAAAGGTTTGCTTCATGTAACAATTTTACAATACTGTTTTAGCTGTATTTCATTTTTCTGTTTGGGTATAAACACTAGAGAAATTTCATTTATTGAAGCAGTTTAATAACTCTACTTAAAACTAATATAAAAAAGATTGTAGAAGTGTAAGTTTTGAGCCTTAGCAATGTTTAAACTTACGTCAATAACATTTGATTCACGTCTGTTTATTCCCCTAAAATGGCATCATTACAGTGCCCCATTTGCCTAATTATTCTGTCCCAAACCTGTGTGAAAAACAGTATAAATTTTTAAGGGCCCGTCTCAATTCATATCCGGGACGAGTTCCAGACAAGTTGCGGACATTGTATCGGGTATAAGTTGCAGGATTCTGAACAACTTCCCAACAGTCTTTCTGCATTGAAGTTATAAGTATTGATAAGTCAAGCAGTTGCTAATGAAAATTTACTGGAACATGTCCGGGACAAATGCGAAGCTTCTTCCTTACAAAGTAAATGATTCTAACCGCAACTTGTCCGGAATTCGTCCCTGATATGAATTGAGACAGGCCCTATAAGGAAATATGCCTAGTATCATGCTGATAACTACATTCATTTATCTACTCACAGAAATCATTTGACCCTTTTGTTCCATGAAGTTTGCTGCTTGGATCAAAAATCCTTATTTTGATTTCACTTGCATTACTGGATCCTGTTGTTCCTGAAAGAGCCCCCACCCTTCCCCTTTTAAACTGCAGATGGCACCACAGCACGATTTTGAACAAATTTGGTCCATTAATTAATTTTTATGGCTCGTACAAGTAGCTTAGGGAAGGGACAACAAACAAGAGACTCTAATGAAGACAATTTGTTTGTAAACATGCCGACTGTTAATATTGCATATTTTCTTCTTCTTTTTTTGGCTAGAATTTATCTGGAGCCAGGAGGAACATCGTAACATGGGAGCCTGGACCTTTGTTGCGCCCCGCTTTGAAAATCTGGCTGGATGCAAGGTAAAATATAACTCCAATGATTGATGGTCCGAGAGAGCCACCCTAGAGTCCTCTTTGTACTTATCTCATGGACTTACTGACTGACTGGCTCACTATCACTTGTGACTTAGCCAGGTTGTTGGCTGGTGAAGAGGGCCTGGCAGTGCTATTGTGTATGATTACCAAATCATGGGCTAAAATTGGCACGTTCAGTACACCAGATACATGAAAACACCAGTGAATTGCCATTCTGAATCAGTTAAATTCATGTGTGCTCTGGGACATGTTTTACAAGCCTCGCATTGTCTTCCATTGTTATACTTTTGTCTTGAATACTGTATTTTCATTAGCCCAGAATGATCATGTGTTAAGATTATCAAAGGTCATAGCACACTCCTCGTGGGATATCAAGTTCATACGGTACGGTACGTATGGTACTGTACGTACGGTGTGAAACACTGGAACGTTAGTACCCACGCTATTTCTTACCATGTTGTCATACGTGTGTGGGAGCAGCAAACTAGCAGACGATCAGCTGTTTTGAGCACGCAACATGCATGTGAGTTGCCGTTCAATTGTTATGATTGTTGCGTTTACTGCTGTTTGTTTTCGTGATTTTTTACATCGAAAACAAAAGACTCCTTGGGGCACATTGCACCCTCGGCTTCGGCTCGGTTGCTATGCGCCCCTCGGATGTTCAAAACGGAGTAATTGCAGAATACCCCGCCACTCGGAAATACACCCTCTAAATTCTCTGGCTTCGAGGTTGGAATCACTGGAAAAGAAACAATTCAAGTCCATGCCAGCTATGCGGATACTGGGGGTCCATTATTTGAGAACGAAGCGACACAAAAGGAATGAGAGTTGCTGAAAAAATTCCTGAAAGTCCAAACCAACCACCCTGTTGGCGGCTACGCGGATATGGAGTGGGAGTGCAATGGAGCATGACGCAAAGTACATTCAAGTAGCGCTGAGAATGTTTATTGAGGTCAACCAACCGTGACCTCGTAGCCGGCTACGAGGTGGATAGATCGAGTGGCGGGGTATTCTGCAATTGTGCCTTCAAAACGTCATATCCCACATCACAGCAGTCAACAATTGTTAAATGTCCACAGTGACAAGACAGTGAAATTACACAAGTTACTGTTGGCTCACTGAAAAAAACCCCAATTTTTTGTCTCGCGATTTGTGACGTCCATGGAACACTGTGGTCCACTGGTTGAGGTGTTTGACTCATGTGCGATGATGCACGAGTTTGAATCCTGATGGGGAACTTTGTGCTTGTGTCCTTGGGCAAGACACTTTACTACACTTGCCTCTCTCCACCCAGGAGTATAAATGGTTAACTGTGAACGACCAGATTGCACTGCTGCAGAAAACTGCTCTCATGGTCTGATGGGCTAATAATTATAAAGCACTTTTAGACTTACTTAAGGCCAAGTAAAAACAAAAGTAGGGTTTTTTTTGTCCAGGTTTTTTGAAAACAGGAAGGAGGAAGCCTTTTCCTAAGAAACTTTTAAAACCCCCTAATCAGATGATCTTTCTTTTCTTTTTCTTAATACCATTTAGCTTCGCTATGCAGGCCGCAGGGTTCTCGGTACCCCCGCAGTGGGCGTGGCTACCTTGCATCAGGAGGAGGTCAAGCAGATTATGGAGGATACCTTCAGGTAACATGCTGCAACGCGGAAGCTGACTTAAACCAAGAATTGTCGAGTCTAGCGTGGACGACCCGAAAGACCTTTCATCTGATCCAGCCACGATTTCTCTTCTTAATGGTGTCATCCGTAAAACAAAATCAGATCAGGAAAAATACAATGATTTCTCGACAACATACTGGCCAAAATATTGTTTCCACCGGTTCTTTCCAGAGCCACTCACACTCACAAAAGAGATATGCTTTGACATAGTGTCAGTACAAATTTAATGATTTTCTTTAATGTTAGACAGACAATCCTGTTCAAAATAATGACATGAATGTTTATGGCAAGGACAGATTGAAATTGAGAAACGGGAAAAATATACTGCTGAAAGCCTTGAAATATATTGTAAGAATATTTTTATATTTTATATATATTCAGAAGCCTAGCTTTATTTGATGAAAGCAACTTACGAATAAGCTCAAGAGTGACATAGCTTGGTCTTCATTAGATGGACATTTTGAGTTGGGTGATGTAAATCAAATCAGGTTTTGCCCTTCACCGACGAATAAACACTGTATACTCAGTGTGTTACCTCCCGAGTGAAAGTTGGAAAAAATCACTCGGGTGGGACTCGAAACCCCCCTCGAAAATCACCCGAGTGATTTTTTCCAACTTTCACTTGGGAGGTAACACACTTAGTATACAGTGTTTATACGTTGGTGAAGGGCAAAACCTAATGTGATAGCTTGTTCTTGGTTATGAGCTTAAATAATAGAAGTAACCATACATTAATCAAGACAAGGGACAGGGTCTCAAAATTGCACTACTGTGTGACTATGGATATTGCAGTATGGCAGTGTAGAAGAAAATAGCACCCTCAACACTTTTAAGTACATCAAAATTATGATGAATTTTGGAGAATGAAGTGAACTTTTCCATTTTGGATCAGATTTAAAGTGAGCTCTTGTGAGATCACGTCCAGTTGTGCTGATTGTGAATTTACCTGAATTAGTTCATATCCCATAAAAAGTATATTCTATGAAGTTTAATGAATGAAAGCTTATATCCAGGCGCGGACATGGGGGGGGGGGTGTCAAACCCACCCCCCAGCGCCGTCAATTTTTTTTTTTCTTCCATAATTCTGGAATTGTCCCATGTAGATTATGATGATACCGTCAATGTGGTGTGGATTTTAAAATTGCCCCTTTAAAAATCTTGATTTTTAAATTGTGCTTCGTTTGGCCTTTTCAATTCACTGGATTTTACTTCTTGTGGATTTGTTTTTATATTTCATTTCTGAAATAGTTTAGTGTTTATTTTGGGAATATCTTCAAGTGTTTTTTCAATGGTGGAGTTATAAGGATATTTGGTACTGTACCAGCATGACCAGGTGTGAAATTTGCATATATATCTCTTGATGATGACATTTTCAAGTAATGTCATTTGGAAGAAACATGGACTGTAACAGCAATGTACCGTACATCCAAGGACGTTTTGTGTGCTCCTATGTTGTGGACACTCTCGTCATAGTGCATCGTGTCCAAGATGCCTTGCCAGATATTTGACAGAAAACCCTCAGTCAGTATGTGACCCGTCACCACATAATGAGTTTAAAGTCAGAAATTGTGATTTTGCAGTACAGTGGCGCAAAGCCAAAATTTGAAGGGGGTGGTCAACTTTTTTTGTTTCCAGGTGAACCTTGATCTGTAAGTCCTCTTTTACCTTTCGCCAATGTATTTTTTATTCAGTCAGACATCTTTAAAACCTACCTTCATCCCGTTTTATTAGTTGACTGTTTATTCACTGTAATGCAACTGCAGGATTTTTAAAGGCCATTTTCTCGAGATTCAGTTTAACATCTTCAAGTAAGTTAGTGGTCTACATTTCCTTTACTGAACTCAGTACCCCTAAATGTTATATACCATTATCTTCAAGCAAACTTGAATCCTCGATCCTGATTGGTCGATCTATGGCAACAAGCCGTGCTACATATAACCATACCGCACGGCCCACGGTCCATACCGCACTCCGCGTATTGTGCTATTCTAAGCCTACGTGACACGATTAGTGCTGCACAATTCACTGTGATTTCAAAAGTTGCGCGTAGGTTGCACAGCATGCGTGTTCCAACTTTACTGTGTGTCAAGTTTGCTTGAAGATAAATTCGTTATCGCGCTCGCGGAACACGGAAAATGTAGTGCGTCTGTGTCCCACATACCACTCGGCATTCGGCCTACATTATTCCGTGTTCCACTCGTGTTCCACTCGCGCTCGCAAGATAACTAATATTGTATGGCTCTTGTTCTGCAGAATCCAGATATATAAATATCTCAAATCTTAAAAAATCTGACTTTAAGCTCATTTTGTGATGACAGGTCACATATATATGGAAATATGTTTAATACTGTATGTTTGAAAAAAGATTAAGTTACTGTGCTAGAGTGGCCAGTGCAAATGAGCTCAAGAAAAAAGTTTGTGAAATAAATTGTATAAGTTATATATTTACGGGCAAAGACAAATTATGACGGGCAGTATTGGACTAAGCATCATGGCGCTCTAATAATTTTAAAGTGCTCAATAAATACATGTACATGTATAGGTTTTCCTGTCCACATTGGTACTTTTTATTCAGATCAAATTGGACATAAATCATTGGACCAATTTCACTAATAAAAGAGCAATAAGTAATTGAAATATCAGTGCATATATTCATCTTATAATACCTCACCTGCAGATTCTGTTTCCGTGTACGTCACATGGTATTCACCATTTTAACCATTTGACTGTGCCAAGCCTAAATTACTGCACAATGGTAGCCTCGCACTGAGAAGTACTATACATATAGCAACAAGGTGATACAGAGCTGGGCGCAAACATTTCATGAAGGGTAATTTGGAAACAAATTAAAGTAAATTTCCACTAATTTCATATTGAAATTGGATAATTTTTATTAGCTTTGGGTTAAAATTAATCAGTAATCTCTCAAAATCTAGCAGAATCTGTGGTTGAGGAATTATAAAACAATAATTTACTTCTTTAACTTGTATTACAGTAAAAACTAACCTCCCTCAATGATTCATAGAGCGTTCTTTTTACCCTCGGCTTTGCACCCAGGAATATTCTGAACACCGATTCAAGAATATTCCATGGATAACCTCGGGAGGCTAGTTTTAATACTTCATTCTAAATAATCAATATTCAATCTCGGTAGCTATGAAAATTTACCTATGTACATGTATGTAATTCACCGTATTCAATGCAAGTCCAACCCATAATGTACATTAAATCCACATGCTGTGAGTGGTTTGAGGAACTCCTCAATTCACAAAACTTGTAGACTTGATTCAAGTCCTTTCAAATGTTTTTCCCATGCCTTCAGTCATGTCCGCATTAGAACTACGAACCTATCGCTCTAGCTATACCCTGTAGTGCAGAGTAGCAGTTCTGGGGGGGGGGGGGGGGAGGGGGCTAGGGCAAAATTTTGTCGAGCCATCACCCCCCAAAAAATTCCTTTAAAAAAAAATGCACTAGCAAACGTCCGGAGAAAATAACCAGGCTACATTTCAACATGCCTCCCAGAATTTTTTGGGGATCCACCCTCCTAGGCCCCCCCCCCAAAAAAAATGGCTCTCGAACCGCGCCTGCTGTAGTGGAGTCCCTTGAACAATGCATGTTAGCATCCCATGCATGCTCAAGATCAGTCATTGGAAGCAAGCATCAGTCCTCAAAATGGCCTATCTGACCTACATCATCACCTTTGACTTTTGACACTCTCCTGGCTGTCATTGGTGTCTCCGGCGGCATGGATCTAGTTGGAAGGAAAGCAGTGCACATTGTTAAAACAAATTGGCAAAAGATTTGAATTTTTTTGTTTAAATGGCCCATGCCTCCAAGAACAAAAGCCTTTAAATTGATGCCTTACAGCCTCGGCAATCTCCGGCCACATCATCGCCTTGACAACCGCATCATTGACGGATGGAGTCATCTCCAAGTTCCAGTAGGTGAACTTGTCAAACTGGTGAGTTGCTTGGAGTGTTCTGTCCTGAAGAAGGAAAAAAATATTGCAACTTGTGAAAATGTTATGAGAAATTGACTGGTAGGTTATGTGGATATGGGTCATTCTATTATTAAGGGTGCAAAGACAAAGTGTGACATATTTCCTGTCCGCTATTTTTCTTCATGCGACTATTTGGGGTACCCTCACATTTTTTAGCACTTTCCTATGGAGCGGATTTCGGACTTTATTTCCCTTTTAAAAAAAAATCCTCCAGATTATTATGTACATTAGGAGTAGTATAATTTGGCTAGATTTTAATATTTTCCGAGTTGTTTGCATGACATACCTCTTCCTCCATGAATGGTCTTTGATTCTCTTTCAGGACAAGACCTTTAGTGGAAAAGAGCAAAGAAAACAACAAAATGAAAACCTACTAGGGGTATCATTGGTGGAAGGTTGATGCCGACACCCCTAAACCAACCCCCGAATGTCAACACTCCTATTTTTATCTAACATGTCTAACACTGAAGTAACAGTAACAAAAGAATTTGCTTACAATACAATGTGCACAATAGGTCACAAGCTCACAACCTATGCAAGTTTCTACCTGTGTATCCTGTTGGTACGTTCAACACCTGTCCGCATAGTGTCCTCCCACGAAATGTCGCCGACAAATCTACAATTATTCAACAAAGAAATACACATGTAGTACTGCACCACTGGTCAACAATTTGTCATTCTTTTTTTACAATGAGACAAGCATGTCAATCCGGGAAAAAATAATGTAGGCCTTAAGTAACTTAGCTTGAGTAACTCCAGCTTAACAAGCTCATCAGGAATTCACATGTTACATGTGAATTCCTGCATCAGGAATTCACATGTTACATGTGAATTCCTGATGAGCTTGTTAAGCTGGAGTTACTCAAGCTATTAGGCCTACTTAGACCCGTGAACGTGGCTATATACATAGCCACGCTTCAGTCTATAGTAAAAACACTCTATTGTTTATCCGCGGTTACTAAAATGGAGTGACCGTTCTAGCCGAATTTCGGCTACATTTGACAGAATATTTGCATACAAAAATGAGTTGTAACTTGTACAGAAAATCAGCAGAATATTTTTTTTCGGCAGAATTATGAAGATGAAGGAAAATGAAAAAGATTGGAAAGAAATATGGCACATTTGGTTTGAAAAACCTTCATTTTTTGAAAGATCCTTAAAACAAACCCTTGCACAATGGAACAGCATTATAAACATGATAAACTGGGTGATTTGGCAGACTTTCGAAGTGGATTTAGCAGAATTGAACATGGTATTACGGTCATCCTGCCATGTAAGACGGTTAGTCGGGTACCCACTGGTGATACTTTTTCCGTTTTGCGCATGCGAAACTCGGGGTACCAGAGTGTCATGCCTGTCTTTGATTTTCTGATCATTTTCAAAACATTCATTGTGACAAAGTTGTGCCGTACTTTACATCAAATTTCTTGGCAATGCCAGATCCAACACTCGCGTAAATTCACAGGAGGCCCAACAAGTAAGTGATTCACCTATGGGCAAAATTATACATGGTTATATGTAGCGGATCAAAAGATAGAATGCTGTCGCTTGTAAAGTTGTATTTACCCGACGGAAGCGCGTGGCGTTGTATACAACGCCACGTTCACGGGTCTAAGGCCTACTCAGCTACTGACATTTCTAAGGAAAGAATGTAGGCCTACATGGCCTAGTAAGTATCCAAACGCCACTTGTGAGGTTGTGTATAACGAACAACGTCTATGGAGAGTCGAGTGCATTTTCTAACAAAATTGGAAATGTGTCTTCCTCAATGGTCGAAATGGGAGCCTAGGCTACATTTTTAGTTAGTTACCATTCTCATTTTTCTTTTTGCGAATGGCAGTTTTGAAGAACTCAGACACTTTTGCGTCTCCTGTGTGTTCTACATTACAGCCTAAAAGATGAACATCTGCGGGTGATGAATCGGCAACAGACTTCTTGTTCAAGAAAAGTGACATTGTCGGCGACCTGCATGCAAACGTCGACTGTGTGAAACTGATGAAAGCATGCCAAGTCAGTGAAACTTCCCGCGAGCGCGAAAATTCGGCACCATACTGAGCGAAACCTGGACTCTGACAAGGTACATTTTCGCAAAAATGTATGTAAGCACCAGTCTGAAACATGGTTAATATCTTGACGTCTCAAGAATCGACATACACACATGTACACTCGTAAAGTATTCTGAATTTACGTGTAAAATCGATCCTGCACTCGCAAAATCATGAAAATGTGGATGCTACTAGTCAACAACACATTTTGACGATTGCAAAATAAGTTTTCGGAAGGTAGGCCTACCCTGCAGAAATAGCCTAGTGTGGAAGAAGGTGTAACTTTGTCTCTGGGACGTGTTACTGTTTGTGTTTATCTGTTTCGATTTGTTTGGCTCATCAATCATGCACCTGTGCACTGACGTGACATGACTGACTGACTGACTGAGGTAGTTAAGCGGGTTTCCATACGTTAATTTTGGTCACTCAAATTAGGCCTCCATTGTTACCATTTGGGTACTACATGGAAATGCAATTACCACTGCCATGACAGGCATGACTGCGCCCTACATAATGTATATTAGGCCTTGGGGATTGTCACTTAAATTTTGCCTGAGTGAAAGGGGGGGGGGGGATTTTGTCACCTCAAAAGTGACAATCCCCATGTCTTGGGTTGGGCTAATCCTAGAACTATGAGCCTCATAGTTCTAGGAGTAGGGTGGGGCAGCTCGGGTAGGGGGGGGGGGGAGGGGGGGGGGACAATTGATAGGTGCATAGACCCATCATGGAGACAGACCTCCATGGACCCACTAATAACTGGGGCACTAGAACTCCTTTTTTGACATTTGGGATTTTGGTCTGTTGTATTGTTGATGTACCCTAACGTGGCGCGGCCCCCAACGTGGCGCACTTTGATTTTTCGCCTGTAGCGCCTACCTAGAGCAAAAGCTTTAACTGAAATTTCACAGAAAGTGAAATTTCATCAAGTTCTAAACACTCCTGTTCATAAATCGCAAGTTTATTTACCCGTAACAAATTTAGAAGAAAACTTTATTTTGGCGTGATTTTCCGATATTATTTTCAAGTGCAAGTGAACCCTTTGAAAATGCCCCGAAAAATAAGAAAATAATTTTCTGGCAAACATCTGGCTGGGTATGTAAGTAGAGATGATAATTATTTATCAGAATTTATCAAGTTTACAGAAATTCTTAAATGTTAATTTGGAATTTTCCAAGACTTATTCAAGTGCGCCACGTTAGGGAACACTCCGCCAACTTGTGCCCAATTTCCGGACGCCACCGTTTTTGAATTTTGGGTTAAATTTGATGAAACTGAAATCGTTCACAGAGGTTAAATAGCAAGCATTAATAAGGTAAAAGTACTAGTATTTTACTGCATGAATTTGAGGTTTGTCAACAAAGAGGTTTGGCGATGTCGAGCGCAATTTGAGTCCCCCACGCAAGTTTAAACTTGCGCGCGCAAGTTTAAACTTGCGCGAGGGACTCCTGAAGCACGCAAATTACACCGCGCCATTTTAATTTGCGTGCGCAAGTTTAAACTTGCGCAAAGTTGATCGCAACCTTCTTTTTGCGGGCGGGATTTTCATTGAGGAAGACATTTTTTTTTTCAAAACACGAGAAATAATGGAATAAATGAATGAATAAAGAAATAAATAAAAAGGGGAATTCAATTAGCGTCAGTGAAAAGAAACATTGAGATTTAGCAGTGCTTATCAGAGAAGTTGTTAAAAAGGGTACGTGGGGGCGGGGCGGGGAGGGGACCGGGCAAGCAATCAACTTATTAAGCACACTAGCGGCGATTGCCTGGAAAGTGTACTGAAGTTATTCATTAATGGAGACCAGCTTCAAGTTTTTTTTGCTTTGTAAACCTAATTGGCATTTTATTTATATTCTTGAATGTAAATAAATCATAATTTCCTAGGTGTAACCCGCTGTTAACGTAAAAAGAATGATTATGATCCCTTCAATAGTTCAATTGTTCAAGTTTGGACATTATAGTAATCATTTACATTATTTTTAAAATGCTTATATATTCTACAATTAAAAAAGTACTTATTCTTAAAAAAATACTAATTAATTTAACAATTAATAAATTGGACGGTACAATAATTCATATTGTTTTTAGAAATACTTGCATTATATTTCGAGCGCTGTGTACACTTCAAAAATGCATAATTTGAAAAAAAAATTAATGAAAGCATTACTAATTTAATCAATTAATTAAATGTATTACTTTAACAAATATCTTTTATTGCAGGCTCAATAATTCATATTAAAAAATGTTTACAACTTAAAAACGCTATGCATATATATAAAATGGTAATTATTTTAAAAAGTAAATAAATTTGCAAATGATTTAATTAATGAATTTAATAAAATGTTTCAAAAAAAGGCATTAAGGCATTGTCTCCCGCGCTCAGTGATGCTATTAGTAAATCGGAGAAAAAAATCTGCTTTAAAAATAATGTTACATATCTGCATAGTTTAGCGGCTCTGTATGCGTGGCCGGGAAAATCTATGCAGTGCGCAAGTTTAAACTTGCGTGCGCAATTTGTAGCAAGGAAATGAATGCGTGCGCAAGTTTAAACTTGCGTGCGCGCAGGTTTAAACTTGCGCGCGCAAGTTTAAACTTGTGTGCGCGCAGGTTTAAACTTGTGCGCGCAAGTTTAAACTTGCGCGGGGGACTCACTTTGCGCTCGACAGCGACACTACACGAGGAAAGTCGGGTAAGCTTCGAAATGCGCCACGTTAGGGAACATGACTATACTAGTGCCCCACTACGGAAGCAATCTCAATTTTAGAATTTTCAAAGTTGACCACAAAAGTTACCAAAAATCACGCAAAATACTTGACAAAAATACCTTTGAAAGCACCTGCTGGCTTTTCCACATGTCAAAGACGAAGTATTGGGGCTTCAAGTTCAATGATACTCGCGATTATTTTTTGGGTTGCAAATCCGTGAAATTCATCCACTTTAGCACAGACATCACACAGCGATTCATTCAATAATGTGAATGGCTGTGATCTACCAGCGCATACACTTTTTCACTCAATTATGTCGTTTAAATAAGATGTCTACATCATTTAAACAAGATAGCTATATCATTTTAACGAGATAGCTATGTCATTTAAATGACATAGATAGCTATGTCATTTAAATGACATAGCTAGCTATGTCATTTAAGCAAGATAGCTATGTCATTTAAGCAAGATAGCTATGTCATTTAAATGAGATAGCTACAATGTATGTCATTTAAGGGAGATAATTATATAGAAGAACATGTCACTCAGTTGTCCAGTAGACGGCAATGTTAATATCACATGGGTTTGTTTATCCAAACCTCTGTCCCACAGTAGTTTGCTCACACAAATTCCCATTTGGCTTAATTAGCAAAATCGCAATTGGCCTAATTTATTAACCTTTTTGGCTGGAGGATGTTTCTCTGTGTAATGTTATTTGAATGGCGAAGGAACAAGTTTGTACAACTTCAACTTTTAAAATTTGTTTGAACAAGTTTTGAAATATTTATAAATGGAAATGTACATTGGGCTGAATACATTGAGAATGGCGTTTGGTCTCTGTGTTATTTTTGTGTCACTAAATTTTGAATCTTTCATTTGAATTTAATCACAGTGATAGAACGATACACGTCGGGCAACACATATAAAACAACAGCATGCCTTCGATGTGGCAGAACCTGCGAGGGCGCTTTGACCGCAGCAAAAACCCGGCATGGGGTCGGGGAGTGTCCTTACTGTACGGCATGGGGGTTTGGACCATGCTGGGGGTGCTGTTCCTCAAATGGATGCAAGGTGCCGACAGCTTCGGGGCCACCCACCTGGGAGTAGCACAGGAAACCTTCCAGGAAATGTCAGAAGAGGAAAAAAACGAGCTCATCAAGAACAAGAACCAGGCCACTTGGAAAAGTGAGTATCACTTTATAATTGTTTTTCTTTGTATGGGGGATGTTAGGGGTTAAAGGGGCATTGCTTCCTGAAATCACCCAAAATTTCATGTTTTAGATTGTTTATGAAGTGAACCAGCTCCCCACGTCAATTAAGGGGGAAGGAAGGAGGAACAGTCCTCTAATTAAAGCGGACGAGTGCTCAGACAAAATATACAATCACTATGACGACTATGATTTCCTGAACTACAATAAATTTTAAAGTACAAGACTTTAAACATCCAACAGACTAAATATGACACGGTAAATACAATGTGTGTGTCGAAGTTTAACGCATGGCTGGATGGCTGTCCACATACGCTACACTACAATGAATCATGTCTGTCTCACGGTCACAAAAATACCACAATTTCTCTCACAAAACGATTATATAACTTAGCAATACTCACAGGGAAGTTTCTATAAGATCACCCTCCCATAGGGAGCATGGCAGGAGCCATGCTCCCTACAAAGACGAGAGACAATTTTATGTCCGTCTTCTCTGTTCGAAGCCCACAGAAGAAAAAGTTGTTACAAGTTGCCTATAAATCAAAGTGTTTCATGAAAATATGCAAATCACTTGCCAAACTTTTGGAAGTACAACAACTGAGGGCGCACTTGGTCTTCCTACATATACTTATCCTATTTTAAACATCTGGTTGAAAAGAAACCAACCTCATGTCTTGCCATACTCGAGAAAAGACCCCAAAAAACCCTGATTGTTTACGTCGGGCACGACGGAGTATGATACGTGTTTCCCGTCATTTTCTTTCACTGTACAATGTACGTTGTGTGTGTCTAATTACACAGCACCGTGCTCACGTTTGCCACGCCCCTTAGACAACCCTATGGAATTTTTGTACACTAAGTTTTGTTGTCTGAGATTATGCGCATTCCGCATCCATTTGTAAATCATGAAATTGGACAATCATGTAATTTTACAAGCTGCGTTGACGCGATTCTAACGCGATTCTACTGCGATAAGTCAATTGCCTTAATTGTGACTTCCGTAAGCTCAGATTGTCCATAAAATTGGGCTGGACCAGCCTGGTGTATTGATAATGACTGACTGGCTGACTGACTGAGAATAAATGATATCCACACTCAAGTCTGTCAGCTCACGGACCATTAGGGCCAAGTTTGGGCAAGGACCATTAGTCGACTAGTGGTTGATTTGTGACGTACCTTACGCCTGCGCACTGATAGCAACGTGCGAACGTCTCTAGTCAAACGCTGGTCAAAATGTCATCGCAAAACTTCTGGACCCTGGCTCTCTGCTAGCGTTTATGAATGCGCGCGGCTATTGGTTACCAGCGAAGCAACCAACCCCAGTAGGCTGGTTCCAAATAGTCGACTAGCGTAGTCAACCATCGTCGACTAGACAGAGTTCGGGCAAACGTTAGTTAACCATTGGTCAACTATAGTCCTTGCGCGAACTTGGCCCAGGCTGCAGCTGGACTAGGCAAGCCTAGGCTATGTCTGAATTACTTGGCTGTGGCTTGAAGTTACACTTGAGTCTGTGGGAAGTGGCTGCAGGCTGCAGCCACTTCCTGTATTATTGTGTGTAATTGCAAGCCATATCCAAGTAAATGGGACACAGCCATACATGTAGTCCTGTGTTGATATTAAATGCAGCTTTTAGAACCTGGGTCATTCCATAAATAGGTGTCCAACAGTGTGACATGTTTTGGTGTCCTTGTTCCACCTGACCTGTGAAATTTGCCATGCAAGTATCATTAAAAGTGGCTTCAAACTATTTTGTATTTGATTGGCATGTCTTTTACCTTACATCACTTTTGGAGATAGAAGGCATTAAAGGTATAGTCCATCATTTGTAATTTGTGCATTTCGTTCGTTTGAACCAACAAAAGTGCTCAAAATCTAAAGAAGGGTACTGAACAGCTAACCTGATGAAGTTTCAGCTCAGCTTCAAATGTAAATTCCGAGAAAAACAGCATTCTAGGAGCTCAATTTCAAATCAAAAGTTGCTGAATCATGTTTTGAATTGGGCCTGAATTCAGCGTCCGAGGTTTTGGGTTCGAAAATGCTATAAAAACCAAGAAAAACAATCATTTTCCTGTAGTCTGGTTCCCTGACTCCATATAAGAAGAAATCCATATAAGAAGAAACAGAGCAGTTTACATACATTGGGGAATTGTAAGGTCAGGGAACCAGTCTAGCTGGCTTGTACCCATTCATAGGTGTGTAATCGATTGCAAACAAATGCGATGGTCAATTAGGGCCAGTATTTGAAAAAAGCCATTTTTTTCCAACGCTGGTTGGCTGACCAATGTTGGAAATTGATACAAAAACACCACTTTTCTTGAAAATGACAGTATACATGTACCAGGTGCCATTGATTTTACAGGATGCTTTACACTGTCATTCACTAACAGTCCGGCAAGGTATTTCCAAATGATTTGGTAGTTTTATTTTTTGATGTTTGCAAATGTTGTATTTTCCCTTTAAGTGTGTAGTACCTGCTCTAATGTCTGGTTATTTCAAGAGGAATTTGGTCTTTATTTCTCTCTCTTTTCAGGACAACAGGAGCTGGCTGAGCACGTCGCGGAAAACGTCTACAAACCGGTGGATTTTATGGGATGATATTCTTGAAAGGAAAAACGGACAAGGCTAACTCTTTTTTAATACGAGGTTGAGCTGAGAAGGTGGATGGTATTGGATTTGAACTTTCATTCTGCAGAACAATGTATTGATGCTGTACCAACCAGAGCTGTATAGAAAATGTCTACAAACCAGCAAATTTCATAGGTGAAACTCTTGAAGGGGAAACGGACAATGTTAATTCTTATCAAATACGAAGTAGAACAAAGAAACTGAATGGAACAGGATTAGAACCTGCAAGCTGAAGAACGATGTACCAGTGCTGTACCAACCAGAGCTGTGCAGAAAATGTCTATAAACCGGTGAATTTCTTACATGAAATTCTTGAAGCGGCAATGGACAATGCTAACTCTTATCAAATACAAGGTAGAACAAAGAAACTGAATGGAACAGGATTTGAACCTTTGAGCTGCTGAACATTGTACCAGTATTGTACCAACCAGAGCTGTGCAGAAAATGTCTACAAACCGGTGAACTTCTTAGATGAAATTCTTGAAGAGGCGATGGACAATGCTAACTCTTCTTAAATACGAGGTAGAACAAAGAAACTGAATGGAAAAGGATTTGAACCTTTGAGCTGCTGAACATTGTACCAGTGCTGTACCAACCAGAGCTGTCCAGAACACGTCTACAAACTGGTGGATTTCACTGGAAGCAATTCCCGAAAGGGAAACGGACCTGGCGAACTCGTCTCAAATACGAGGTAGAGCAAAGAAACTGAATAAAACATGATTAGAACCTCAGAGTTGTAGAACGCTACATCGGGTGCTCTACCAACCAGAGCTGTTCAGCTGTTAACCCCACTAGTGTGGCCTCGGTATTGCTACGCTGTACCTCTGACCACACGCCAGGTTCTTCCCACTTCTAGGAGTTTGTCCAAAAAAAAATACGCAAATGTTCTTATATATGATTGTACTATTAGGCCTTGGTTGTATTAGGCCTAGGTTGTATTCTATGATGTGTCAGCTGTTCCCCTCTGGGATGCTTAGTTGTCCTAATATCAAAATTTTTGAGAAATTTTTGTATTTTTCTGGAGCCCATACGCACACGAAAATCGTCTGTTGATGGCAGCCATTTTTAATGTAAGAAGCGATGACCTCAAAGCTGTGACGTCGCGTTAAATGCAAAACGATCTTGTCGCTCTCGCGTGCGAGTTGCAATGCGACGGCTTTTTCTTGTACAATGGATTCGCCCGTGCTGTATGGCTGCGCTCTGTATTATACTTTTGGTTGAGAGATTGTACATGAAACAGCTGTCGTGTTGCAACTCGAGCGCCTGAGCGACAAGATCTTTTTGCATAAATGCGACGTCACAGCTTTGGGGTCATCGCTTTTTACATTCAAAATGGCTGCCTTCAGCAGATGATTTCACTTGCATATGGGCTCCAGAAAAATGCCCAAATTTCTCGAAAAATTGGATATTAGGACACCTTAGAAGCATCACAGAGGAGAACAGCTGAGACATCATAGAATACAACCGTATGTAAGAAAATTTGCGTAATTCTTTGACAAACTCCTCAGTAGTGGGAAGAACCTGGCATGTGGCCAGAGGTACAGCGCAGCAAAACTGAGGCCACACTAGTGGGGCTGTCCAGCTGTATGTTGGTGGTCTAACAATAAGCCAGTTCGGTATTTCAATGACCCGAGGTCATTCCGGATAACATTGCTGATGTGATGTTATGCGATGTTACAGGAGATTACGTTACTTTCTGGGAGAGTTGCAGTCTGCAGTAAAGCAACACCGGCGTGCTTGAGCAAGATTATAAATATGCATTGTTCAGTTCATGACCTCGTGTTTGTATGGCTAGCCGCCGTGCGCCTGACAAACGTCATGAACTAAATGCATATTCATAATCTTGCCCAAGTGCGCCCACATAATGCATACATTACAACGCAGCCACCATTTTGAAATCGCGTGGAGGAACATTTTCGGGACTATATTCGTGGGAGATGATGACTGAAAGTCGTCTTTTGGCCAGATGGGTGAAGATTTTTAGATAAAAGAACGTTTTTTTTTCGAAAAGGTATGAGTTACTCTAGACTAGGAACCTTAACTTTGGAAATTTCTGGCCTGGATGGGAAGATAATCTTGATCAAAATCGGTAGCAAAATCGCTACATCAGAGTTCAGCGTTTAGGGGAGCATTGGGCGTCTGACTGTACTACAGAGCTTGCGATAGTACTGTACGGCCAGATGCAGTCGGGCTACCTGGAGTTATAGTAAGGATTATTTTGTGCAAATATTCATGCCTCTCTCAGATGTACAAAAATGATAAAACATTTTTTTCAGTTCTGAAATTGTAATTTTTAAGCTTTTTGTTGTAATAAAAATGATTAAACTTTTTACCACCGTACCCCTAAAACAAAAAGGAATTCTGTTAACGAACTTAACACCCCCCGCCCGACAAACCCTCCCTTCTCAAGAGGTCAATGACATTTGTACAAAAGGTACCCTGACGTCTGTTCACCCAAAGTCACACTGTCCTGTGTTCTGGTATCTGACTACTAGAGCGAAACCCAGGTGTTGTGCTAGTGACAAGTGTGAGGGTGTCACCTGCTGAAGTCACTGCAGTGCTGAATTTTAAATTTCATACGCGCACGTGTGTGATATTTGTCAGTTGTTTTACACAAAACTTTAGGAGCGATTCATAACATAGGGAATACGTAGGGAATGTGATGTTTTCATCTGCTGCTAGCAAGACGTTCGTTGGGCGGATAATGTTGTTAGCCCCACTAGTGTGGCTGCGATATTGCTGCACAAGGGCGGATCCAGAACACAATTTTGGGGGGGGGGCCAAAAAAAAATTTGGTCCCCCAAAAAAGTGGGTCCAAAAAATTACGGCGTGGGGTTCGGGGCCCGCTTAAGGGCCCCGAAAAAATTTTGGATTCTAGATGCTCTGTGGTGCGATCTGAGGCAATTTCTGACCACTTTAACCAATGTTTTTTGGAGGAAAAGATGGTGGTGTACTCGTTGCCTGCCTTTATTGCGATGTCACATAAAAAAAAAAAAAATTGGTTTCGTTTTGGGGGGGGCCATGGCCCCCTTTGGCCCCCCCCTAGATCCGCCCTTGTTGCTGCACTGTATCTCTGGCCACACGCCTGGTTGTCCAGTACTAGTACTACTACTGATAGTCCGAGTAACTTTGACCCACTTACTTATCGCCTTTTTAACATTCGGACATGGTCTGGCGATAGTGAGATGTCAGAATGTTAAAAAGGTGATAAATTGGGTCCAAGTTACTGAGACTATACTACTGAGGATTTTATTCCAAACACTGGCACACCCATTTTGGCATTTTGGCATTTTGGCATTTGTTTTTACATACCACTGTTTATGGTTGTATTGTATGATTTCTCATCTTTTGCCCTCCAAATAGATTAGGTAATCTTTCTTCAAATTTTTTGAGAAATTTAGCATCTTTCTGGAGTCCATATGCGCAAGTGTTTGGGCTAAACTCCTCAGTTGTTTAGGAAACCAGATGTGTGGCCTTAACGTACACCGCAGCAATACTGAGGCCACACAAGTGGGGCTAGGATAATGTCGACTCTTGGAGTAGGAGAAGGAGACCGGTCGCGGTTCCCAGACTCTGCCGCTCCGGTTCTGCCGCTCCGGTTCTGCCGATCACGATCGACGAGCTGTCCCGTTGCATCAGATGATCAGTAATTTTTCGTTTCATTTGTCTCCGGGGAGAAGGTAAATAAAAAGATCCTCATAAAAAATGTTGCGAATACTTTGTACATGTTGTATGTCATGTATGTTAATTGTTGATTGATTTAAAATAAAACAAAATCAAGAAAATATTTTTGGATTGGTTGGCTGGTTCAAATCTGATGTACATAGCAGCGGGTACTGCATTAACCGAGTTCAGGTATATGCGGTATTCGCTGCTATGTACATCAGATTCGAACCAGCCAACCGATCCCGTTAGCTCGGTGGTCGAGGGGTAAGACATCTGCACTAGAAAGCAGGAGGTCGTGGGTTCGAGTCCCACCGAGTGATTTTTTCCAACTTCCACTCGGGAGGTAACACACTGAGTATACAGTGTTTATACGTCGGTGAAGGGCAAAACCTAATTTGATTGAAATCAAACTTAGGACACGTCTCAGCCAAGATCGATCTTAGAGCTGGGACTCGTTTTAAAGACGAGTCATAAAATAAGAAGAGTTTCGTGAAATCGGCCCCTGAGATGTTAACCAAGAATACATTGCAAGGACTGAATCGTGACCATTGTTAATCATCACATGGTTTTTCTTTATGATTAATTAACATTTTGACATATTTTGCATTTATAGAATAGGCTCCAGAGAAACTTAGAAACAGGCAACCACACATTGAGAGCATTGTGGAGGAAGAGTTTCAGAAACTTATAACCGCATCATCATCATCCGGGCAGGGAATGAGTGCAGACGACTTGAACAAAGGTATCACACTGACTTAACCTTTAATTTGAAACTGTTTGGATTTTCCCACTTACAGTGTAAGCATGTGCACACAACTCCCATCAGTTACAATGTAGGAACATAATCCATAGCCACTTCGCGCTCGGGTTACTTTTTGGCGAAAATTTTGATTTTCGCAAAATGCTTATTTTACATTTAAGATAACATATAGGCCTTCCTGTTTGGAAAAAATGACATTGTGCGACAAAGGTGTGCCCTATTTTCATAAGCTTGGTGTCCAAAAAAACTTGGCAGGATTTAACATGTGCATTTGCGACAATAGAAGCTAATGTACATGGAAACGGTTGAGGCCCCGCCCCCGCCATGATTTTCCCACCGCTCTTAAGATAAAGAGTCTGACCTAAAATCACTCTTAAGCTATATTTTCATGCTCCACAAGTGTCAAGGTATCAATGCAAACTGGGTTCATTTTCTCCTCTACCGTTATGTTGGAATGGTATCATTAAAGAGGAAAAGGAGGGGGTGACGGCCACGCCCACCCTCCACGCTTTTCTGGTCATTCTTAAGCTAATTACTCTGATTTAAAATAATTCTTAAGTTATAATTGCAATATCTGCAACTACGGGTACCAAGCTATCAAATGATATTGGTTTTGTTCTTGTTTTCACAATTTTGATTAAATGCAAAATTGGCCCCATTTGGCATGGCGCCAATGGGCCTTAGTCTGATCTAGCGAAATTTAATACGGGCCATTCTGTGATCAGGGTCGATGATACTATGCTTTAAGACAATCAGGGGATTTTTTCCCAAAATTTTGATTAAACCTATCCAGCTCTCATTCTATTTGAGTGACGAGTGTTTGGCGGTACATGTACATGTATGTAAAAAATCTATTGAAATTAGACTAATGAATATTGAATCAACTACATGTAAAAATTCATGAAAACTGAAATATGATTCTTTTTGCAAGCACAGCGGCGCCATGCATTGTGGGTATTTTTGGAGATAATTAATGTAGGCCCCCCCTGATCCCTACGTTGTCACGGGTTATGTGATAATTAATGGAGGCCCCCCCCCCCCCCCCCCCCCCCCCGATCCCTACGTTGTCACGGGTTATGGGCTACGTGAAAACGAATGAGTGTGCGGCAATTTTTTTTGCATTTGTTCTCAGTTTGTCCCGAAACCATGAAAATGCATGAATTTGGTCTGGAAAAGAGACAAAACTTACAAAAAATACATATAAACATGTACATGTTGGCCTATCCGTTCCATTGTCAAACTCATTTCCCAAACCACAAGATAGACATATGGCAATATAAAATATGTACCCAAAAAAAGTTATCAATGCAAAGTGGTTTTAATACTTAGGCAGTAGACAACTAGAATGTATTTATGTTAAATAAGTTTCAGATACTGGGTCACTAAAGTGTGACAGGCATCTCAAAAAAATTAGTACAAACTGCAATAATTTTTCTGTTTTTTTTTTAATATGTGACATGTTAAGGAAGCAACTTAAAAGTATAGAGACAGTTTTTCAACCAAAAGTACAGTTTTCATACTTTTTATTTTCTGAAATTAAAATCTAAAGTACGTAACATGGTGTCCTGTTTGTGCTATAAACGACATTTATGAGGTTGATAAACTTGTGATATGTGGTATGCGTTGGCATTAGTCAGGGAGTGGGCTCCCCAACACTTGAAATATTGACCTATTTGGACCAGGTCTTTGGATTATAGAGGAATGACCAATTGATTAATGTACTGAAAGACGCCGATGTTACATGCTTTAGATAAAATGTACAGAAAATACTTCAACTTTTGCTGTTGGTTAATTTTGATTACTAACTGTTATATTATTACAATCCATTTGTCATTTGAAGTACAGAAATGTGCTATAATATACAAATAATGAATGTTTGTGATTGCAATGGTAAGAATAATTTCATGAGGTGACAGATGAAATGTTCCATTCCACGAGGCGAAGCCGAGTGGAATGGAACATTTCATCTGTCACCGAATGAAATTATTCTTTCCATTGCACACTGAAACATTCATTATTTAAATCCTTGTCATCTGATTGGTTGACTTTTAGTAGCCAATTTATTCAGGTCAAAAACTGTTAAAAAGCTTGACAAGTTCATCATATTTATATTAATATTGCAAACTGTACAACAGGTTGAGAACAATCATCGATTTAAAGCAGCGCCACCACCAGCAGCAACGACACCATGCAATGGAGTTCTATTCACGGTGCAATAGAACTTCCATTTCGCTGCGCGCCACGCGTGCGCCGTGCGTTGGTACGAATAATTCAATGACTTGTGATCAATGATCCACCAATCAGATGACGGGGATTTATTCAGGTGTTGTATAATATGGTACATGTACCACGTTGGGAGGTATGTTTTAGACATTCATAAATACCTAAGACAGTTTACGCATTCCTATTGGTCAAGAGCCCGTCACGTGGCCGGTCTTAAACAGATGATAAAGACATGGCTAGCTGGTCTTAAACACTTTCCCAGTGTCACATGAAAATTGGACTCCCAGGAAAACTGGTGCCATTTTACGTTTCATTGGTTGAATGTTCACATTCCTCACGTATGCATGCGCAATGTACTATACCAGTGAATCAGTATTTCATAGTTCGAAATTCACACTACACCAGCCCAGCTGCATTTTGCGCAACATCGCGCATTACGCGCGACGCATGGTTGAATGTTCACATTCTTCACGTACCGGTATGCATGTGCAATGTTCTACATGTACCAGTGAATCAATATTTCATAGTTCGAAATTCACACTACACCAGCCCAGCTGCATTTTGCGCAACATCGCACATTTCGCGCGACACGCACGCAATGTCCTTATAAGGTAGCGAGTTGTGGAGGGGCATTCCATATTATAGTCAGAGGGATGTTTCGTAAAACATGAAGTAAAATTGTTGAACAAAATGGCTGGCAGCGTCTACTTTTTGACTTGTTTTGATTTTTGGAACGAAAAGCTTTGGTTTTTTGACCGAAAAGGTATTTATGAATGGGAATAAATATGTGTTCGGTCAGTATTAAACACTCCCACCGGTCTTAAACAGAGTGTTATAATACTTCCCGAACACACATTTTATTCCCTTATTAATGTCATAATATTAAACGTACATGTACATAACAAAAGACACCAACATCCACAAAACATGTTAAACCTCTTAAAACCACAATGACTATATGGAATAAACTAAAAATGAACATACAAATAAAGAATTTATACACAGGCAGACAGGCCAGGTAAATAATCAAAATATGATGTAAAATGTAGCCTGTTTTTCAAAATTTCAAATTTTGCTCTGACGTACGTAACATTGTGTGAACACCAAAGTTCAACCATGCATCTTTTCTTCATTTATATTTGAATGTTATGAATGGGGAACAGTTACCGGTACATGCATGGGTAACTTCACTTCAAATATATACATATGTACATGTAGTTTAAAACATATTGTTTCAATTTGCTTAACTCTATTTTTGTTAGCCTTGGTCAATGCTCTCGTCGTTATTCGTCCCGTACGCGGTCAATCGTCGGCATATATCCTCTCACGCGCTATGCACATGCAATAAGAAAACGACATTTAAGGTCAGCTAAGGCTATTAACATAATCAGAGCACCACCCCAAAAACCTCACATGGACGATTGAACCAAGGCTCTCGATCGTCCCCAACTGATTTGCATATAAAAATAGTGGCCGCGTGAGGTCGCTGTTCGCACTTTATTTTTACATGCATGTGCATAGCGCGTGAGGATATATGCCGACGATTGACCGCGTATGAGACGAATAACGACGAGAGCATTGACCAAGGCTATATTTTTGTAGGATGATAAATGAAATCTAATGTATGTAGAGTTGGACACCAAAGAGATTGGTGTTCTTAACATGAATATTTGTACATGGAAAGCATGTGGAGACAATGAAAACTTTTTAACAATATGTCCTAACTGCTGATGGTTCACAATCACTCCACTTTCAATCAGGACATGTCTGTTTTCAATTGTTGTTATGCCCATTTTATGTTTGTTACATGTTGGACACCAAATGTTACATACGTTAGAGTTTCCCTTAGGAACTTTTAGTTTTTATAAGAAGAACCTTTTATGGGAATAAAAAAATCGGTTGTCAAAAAGAAATAAAATAAATAACACTTAAATAACAGTTTTATCAGGAATAGAAGAGTTCTAACCCCTTATGTTGCACTGACGACACATTTTTGTGTCCTACTTTGTGCTCTATTTTCACACTTATTAACTGATAAAAATTAATTCCCATGTCAGTAGTCAAAAAGTTGTCTCCTTTAATACTCTTACTAGTCATATGTACACACATGAGAAAACAATAAAAAGAGCAAAAGGTAACAAGAAGGTTATTCAATCTGGATCCAATTTTCTCACCCCAAAATCCCTCCGGTATTGTTATATGTTGTGCTGTGATGAGTCCATTTAAATCATTTTCGAAACAACATAGCTTGGGTCCAAATGCAAGATAAAGTAAAAAGGAGCTAAACGCTACAAACTTTTCAAAATGTGTGTTTGAGTAAAAGGATTTTTTGAATACCGTTACAATAGAAAATATAAACACCAACATGTAATCATGATAATAGGTTCTTATGATACAAATTCATAGCCTTTACAATTTTAACTTCAAACTTTTAACCTTACACAAGTACAGTTGCTCACGTACTACAGTGTACCTCATGGTAACAGGTTCTGATCAGCCAAATTTCATGGTGCTGCTTAAAAACATTGCTGTACAAATGTGTGTACATTGCTTTGCAAATGGCATTGCCAGTGTTTGAACCAGTCATAATAATACCAGAGTCTTATAGTGCACGTATCTACCAACAATTAGGTACTCAAGGTGCTGGAAATTACGTTTATTTTAATATTAAAGACAGGTAAATAAAGTTAATGAGAAATATGAGACCCACTATGTAAGGGTCACTTACAAGGTGCTGCGGTGCATATTGCAGCCACTGC